TACTGTCTTAGTAACAGGAGATGAGTTTCTTGTTATTTCCTTTGATATACTGAGATAGTAACTATGATTTAACATAAGTAACAAAGTGCTTAACTAAGTTAAATTAGTAAAGTAGGTTGTATGTAATTTGCTAGTGTATACTCAGGGTCGTCTATTAAATTATCTCTGATTAAGATTAATAATTATATATCTAATGTAACTCTGTTACAAAACTACAAAACTTTTAAACCTTCCGGATTTTGGCAACCAATCGTCTTTATGGAAAAACTTAAACACGTAAACAAAAACTAGTACTTATTTTATAATACAAAATATACATTAAAACACTATAAATTATTTACAAAGCCATTCCATCTCTCCCATTAATTGTTGAATAATAAACATTTCGTAATTAATTTGTACTCAAATTAAAGTTTCCGTAATAAGAGAAACCACATAAATTAATAACCGACGCCTGTTGAAATAAATTGCTTATTGTGTTTGCTCTGTATTTTGTAGCAGGCGCGAATTAATGAAGTATTCAGAACTCTGTTGCTTGCCATTACTGTTTAATATTTACTGCCCAATTATACTTGGAGCTTTTGTGTTTTTAAAACATCCATATTTATTAATATACTAGCTTACCCAGCAAACGTTGTTTTGCCATGTATATTTTTTCTTGGAAACATTTTTTTAGTTCAATGTATTTATGTATGCTGTATCATAAAAAAAGCAAAAAAAAATTGCCTAAAATATACTAGCTTACCCAGCAAACGTTGTTTTGCCATGTATATTTTTTCTTGGAAACATTTTTTTAGTTCAATGTATTTATGTATGCTGTATCATAAAAAAAGCAAAAAAAAATTGCCTAAAAAATAAAAAAAAATTTTGGTATCCACTCCAACCCCTTATCACTTAGGGGTTTGAAAGATTTTCAGGCTTACTGAACATGCATAAAAAATTTCATAAGAATTGGTCAAGCCGTTTCGGAGGAGTATGGGAACGAACATTGTGACACGAGATTTTATATATTAGATTTTCGAAATGTTAATATAGGCTAATCACCAACTCGATCTATAAAAGAAAAATGAATAAAATCTGAGTTGTACCGACATTGAATTGGAGATAATTATTTGGCCAAACGTAGAAACAATGTTTTTAATATAACTACCATATAGTAATATAATTTAGACTTGCTTTGGCAATAGTATCTTTAATATCATATTATTCATCGACGTCAAAAAAATGATTTCTAGAAGACCACCTTGTCTTTTAATTAACAATTACGGTTTGACTTAAACCATGCAAAAAATAATTATAATGAGTTTATATAAATGACTCATTGACGACGGATAACCTTAATTTGAGCCCTCGACATATATTTCGATTGTACAATCACGTGAAAATTTGTGTAGGCCCGCATTTTTTTGAATAAAATATATTATTGTTGGATATTTTCCTTAATTACCTGCTCCTGCCTCACTGTTCAAATACAATAGGTTCTAATAATAATTTTGATTAATTATGGCTGAGTCTCGAATCGGAATCAAACCCCTAAGCCTATACATACTGATAATGTTAAATACCTATGTAATGTTGAAAGTTGACAGAAATATAAAGGAATTATTAGATACTAGCTGGTGCCCGCGACTTCGTCTGCGCAGGATTTGTGTTTCGAGTAGCTTATATTAGCGTGGCGTAGAAAAAAACTACTAAATATAATGACTATTTAAGATAAACATTTGCATCATACATTAAATATGTGTAACTCTAGCGGTTTTGGCAGCGCACGTAGAATAGCTCGCAGATGGTAAATTGTTTCCTACTTACTTGATATTTCACACAATATCTTTATAAATTGTAGCTTATGTGTTATTCTGATGTATAAATTAATGTAAAGTTTCATTAAAATCCATTCAGTAGTTTTTGACGTGAAGGAGTAACAAACATCCATCCACACTTACAATCTTTCGCGTGTATAATATTAGTAGGATCTGTCTTATACTGATATTGATAAGCATTTAATTTACTTTGTCTTCCTCGCTTAGACATAAGTAAGTATTAATGGAATGCAGGCACCGCAATGAAAAGTTAAGGTTCTTATCCAAAATAAAGTATTCGAGAAAACGTAACAGAAACTATACATTGCGTAACTTCCAACTCCAATGACCTGGAAAGCAAGGTCGGAACCCGACTTATTGTATTTTAACAGTAACGTTCTCATTAGAATTAGTTAAGACAAAACACAGGAAGGAAACTGACTCCAGCGTGAAAACTATCACGCCAACAAAGACAGCTTCGTTCCACCGAATTTAACATCACTATAAAACACCACTGCAATCCCAAAGTGACATTAGTCGTACTACGTCAATAACGACACCATCATTACGATGTCGTCAACAATTCTCACTATCACACTCATTTCGATTGTTGGATCGCAAGCCATCAAGTTAGAGCTGGCTGAGGAAAAAACTCCATACGATTATGTAAAGGATAGATTAGATTCAATGTTAGTGGACACGAGGAGTGGAATGCCGTTATCTAGTTCCTATGAGGTTGAAGAGACAGAAGATTATCCCGAGGAAATCAAGGGAGCGGCGTCAACTCTACATAACGCAGTGTCTGGTGTTGGATACGGCCAGGGTATCGGCCTCGGTGGTCTTGGAGGAATAGGATTAGGCCAGGGATTGGGAATAGGACTAGGAGGTCTAGGTATCGGTGGAGTAGGTGGTTTAGGTATTGGAGGAATTGGCAACGGTATTGGTCTCGGTGGCTCTGGGGCTGGTATTGGTGCAGTTAACGGGATCGGAGGTGTAGGATTAGGCAACGCAGGAATTGGTGTAGCAAATGGATTAGTTCAGCCAGGCTTAGGAGGCATTGGTGTCGGTGGTTTTGGAGTTGGGAACGGTCTTCTGTACCATCCAGTTTTAGGAACACAAGTTCAAGGAGGTTATGTAGATAAAAACGCATATGATGCGGCTCAGAAAAAGGGCGCCGACCACAATGTTGAGAAGTTAGAAAAAAAAGAAGAAGAGGAAATCAAGCACGGACAAGAAGGATTCCAGCAAGGTGCTGCTGCTGCTAAAGCAGAAAAGGGAGAATCTAGCTTTTACAAAGACGAAGAAGCAAAAAAGAAAGCAGCCGGAGATGAGAAGTTTTACGAAGGTGGACAAAAAGTCAACAAGCAAGGTCAGTAATTTAATAATTACTTAATAAATTTAAATTATAGGAATCACAATGTATGTAATGTATGTAAATATTTACACTATTAATAGGCGCTAATGAGGAACAAATAAAGAAGGCAAAGAGTCACAAGAAGGGCCATGTCAGTAAGGGTTTTAAGTCATCCAGCAGCAAGAATGAAGAAGAGAAGTCTGAAAGCTTCTATGACGAAGCTCACGATGAGGCTGACCACAAAATCGCTGGGCAAAATGCGGGATCATTTGGAGAAAATGCACAACAAGGTTTCAAAGGCGCTCATGAGGAGAAGGTCCTCGATGCGAATTCCCAGGGCAAGGAAGGACACCATGTATCGGAAGAAAAAGTTGATGATGCCAAAGCAAACAAGGTGAGCACTTTAAAATAATTTTAGTGTATTATTTAAACCATTTTTCTGCGTATTCCAAACCGGTACATCAAATATTTGCCAACGATGAAAATGCTTGCGTGTATATGAAATATTTATTATAGCCCGTCTCGGCAGGTGCAAATGATAAATGGCTGTTATTTCTTGTAATGTATTATCTTTTGACGTGCCCTTAACCTCCTCTGTTTACGAAGGACGTTCACAAAAGTATTACGTTTTTTATTTATGCTGTGAAACTAGCCGTTTAAATGTGGACCAATGCAAATAAAAAGAAATAAAAATAGCTTTTTGTATTTTGTACACGCGACTGAACACTGTACCGTTTTATAATGCTTGTTTCAAATGATATGCATTCATAGTTTTTGTTACTCGCAAGCTTTTGTTGGTTTGAACATTTTATTTTTATATTCTGCATGAAATTATCCAGTAGTTTTCTTATATTTATATTAACAGTACGTGTGATATTGTTGCTATATTAATAAAACATAACGTGACCCATTTCTAAGTATGTTAAAAAAGGCACACGTAACCTAGAAGACGGGATACCCTAGACATCTCTCTATACTATCGTTATCCCCCTATAACGCGGTAGGCACGGTTCGCGTTATAGGAAATCGCGTTGTAGTTGAGTTCTCGTAAAACCGTTTTTTTGAACAATTAGATAACTAGGAACAAGAAGTTCATAAAGTTATTTAGTTTTACTTTATAACAATACAATTGAAACAGGTGCAAATGTACAAAAAACTATGGACTTGGCAAATCATTATAAATTTCACACTCCGAAAATATTACTTGAGATATCTCCGCGTTATAGGGAAGAAATACCGCGGCATATGGGGAACGGAAATCGCGTAATATACGAAAACGTGTTATAGTGGGGTTATTAACTGTAAATTATTTAAATACGCATTTTTTGATTTGCAGGAAATTTAACACGTTAACTGACTTTAAAACATTGCTATTTGGGCAATTCTGAATCTGTGCGGCTTGAAGTAGATTAAGTTTTTTTTATTATTAGTTCACTTCAGTGAATTTTCTCATTTATATACTATATTTTCAGGGTGAATTCCTGCAAAAGGGCTATAAGGGTGGCGCAGAGCTGTTAGAAAAATTCAACAACCTCGGTGCACAAGCTGTCCACGGACATCAAGAGGCAAGTGGTGGATATCAGCAGAATAAGGGCATATTACCCATACATTAAAAATACGACTTTCGAACCCCCGAAATATGAAAATAAAGCATGATTAATGACTTTTTGTTTTATTTAACGACTAAAAATCAAATTCTTATGTGCCAGTTGACTTCATCTAATTAGTTCAATTCTGAAATATTTTCTATGTTCTTAAACTCAAACATTTTAAACACGTCAAAATAATAATACCAATATAATAAAATCATCTTTTAATTACATGCAAATTAATCTAACAAAACAAAACTAAAAATTGAAACGCCCATGTTTCTTAAACGCGCACTTGTTGCTAACACCATTGCAGTATAAAACTCTTGGCGATTTAAGTCCAGACAAATATCCGGATTCATTGCTGTTCTGGCTTAAAATATCTCTGTAAATTGTTAAAATTACTCACGTAAATAATACAAATTTTAAAAAAATACTGATATTTGATTGTTATTATTACTAATAAATATTTTAAACTTTAGCAAATATAATTAAATTAGTAATTACTGATGATTTTAGTTCGTTTATTCAAACGAGAAATATTATCGTTTCATGTTAATTATGATTTGAATTTCATAATGATAGAACTTCTATCAATTAAATTAAAAGAGTTAATACAAAGTGATGTTTAAATAGTAGGTATGTTTCGCTTTATGTTTAAATTAAAACTTTAAAGTAAATAACTAAATCATATATTTAAAAATATACCCAATATCTTGGAGGCTATAGGCGTCCAAACAAAACGGTAAAAACGTTTGTTTTTCGCGATTCAAACCGAATAAATAGTTAGAAAAGTATCTGGCAGAGCTTGTACTATTCGAACAAATTAATTCAAAATTAGTCTAGTAGTTTTAATATAAAAGAAATATAAACTTCGCAATGCCTTTAGTGCTAGTGCACAATACCGTTAAAGATGCTTTAAAAAGTGGCTGTACCCGACCGACTCAGGAGTTGGAGGCGTGAACACTGTTGTCGATATTTTGTTCGAAGCACTCGAGGACTGGGAAAAATATTATGTGTTTGAATGAACATTGTTTCTTTTATATTTCATGTGTATTGATTGAGTTATATAGTAATAGCTGTGTAGCTAGATGTTATATATACTCCCGTGGTCATACACAAGAATTGTTCAATTCGGACCGGCAGTTCCTGAGATCGATCGAGGAGCAAGTTTGACCAATTTAAAAGATAATAAGGAAATAATTTTTCAGTTGTTGCTTCATTTAGCGCTGCTGTGGCTAGATAATATAGCTTTATATTGGTGGAATAATTTTTTAAATCAGTAGTAGTATTATACATTACAAATAAAACATCAAATACTTCATATTTATCGCAGTATAGATAAAATGTTTCCGATAATATTTATATTTAATGCATACATTAGTAGTATTTATTACCAACACACAAATATATTATTTTAACAAATAATAATAATTAAAAATGGTTAAATAGATAATTAAATCTAATTTAATAAGTTTGGTTCCTGTTGATAATGACCCCAGAGACCTTCCATCGCTTAACGAATAAGTATCGCAATTCAGCGAGGAATGCTGACAGCATTAAACACACTTCCACACGAACCAAACTTTTTAAATTTGTTTTAATTTTCTATTATCCATTATTAATAATGCATATATAAATGTGTTATATTAGTACTATGTCAAATAGGTTTTTATAAATGTTATAGGAGCAAATTTTGAAAAAATTATCAATGAACAGATTTTTATATCTAATGTATAAACCAAGGGTTGTAGTAGCGCACTGGTTCTTTATTATAAATTAGCTACGCCCGCGAATTTCGTTTCGCGCTTTACAGCTATCCCATAGAATGTTCGCATTTCCGGAATCAAAACCATTTTCTAAAATTTTCCAAATTTAGACCTCCATAAAAACCCTCTGAGTTCAAGGAATAAATAAAAACAACTCGAATGGGTCCAGCCAGTCTTCGAATTCAGAGCTTAGCAACATATTTTACTATACATTTTTATTGATTGTTAGAGTCACTATTATTTATTGATATTGGAAGGTCTAAATGTACCAGCTTCCAAACCATGGGCGTAAAGGTAACAAGAAGAAATGGCAAGAAACTCTTCGCTACTAATCGCCTAGTGTTTTTAAAAGCAATTTACCTGACTATTCACACTGAAGTTGCTTGAACGCTGTTTGCTTATCCGAGTAGGGGTCACCAAGTTCGACTGATACGGTTGCTATCACATAATAAAATTGTTTATATTGGATACGAATTTCAGGGAGTTACCCTGTTTAAGGAAAATGTTGAGAAAAATAGAATAATCCTTTGTTCGCTAAATCGGCAACGGCAATTCACTAAGAAAAGATTGTCGGATATTATGCGGCTCACGGAAACATGTAAAATATATTGAGTCATTTCGGGCATCAAACCAAATTCTTTGCATGAATACTCCACCGTACTATATTGCCACGGTCTCAAACCTTGGTTTAACCGTCGAATTCAGAGTCGGGATTTAGTTATTGATGGATTACACTGGAGTCATGCTTAGGATACTAAATCTCATCTCTCACTATTAAAATAATGGGTTACTATGACCGCGTCAAAGCAAAACTCAAACAAACCGTTAAAGGCGAAGGAAATTATGAGAATTTAGAGTAATAATGACATATTTATAATTTAATGGGACTTCCCGCGTTTACGGAATAGTTAAATCAAATTATTTGTAATTTAAACAAGTTAGGTTCACCATCAAAAACTTGGCACAAAAATAATAAAAGGTTTTTCCGTGTATAAATAGAAATCACTTACGCTATAAGGAGTGCTCTTTGCGGGTCGCTTGTATGTAGGTGGTGTTTGAATAAAACCAGGGGATAAATTACTAGGCGAAATAGGCACGTTGAATGGTGGCGTTTGTTCTATTAATATTATTTAAATTATTAATAAATATGAATATTTAAACAATTGTATATAACAATCGAGATGCTTTTTCGATCACGAATGTCTTCTGCTATAAGTATATCTTAATATATATAAATTACGTGTCACGTTGTTTGTCCGCTATGGGCTCCCTAAACTACTGAACCGATTTCAATCAAATTTGCACACCGTGTGCAGTTTGTTCTAACTTAAAAGATAGGATAGCTTACATCTCAATTTATACCCCCGCCCAATATTATTTTATTGCAAATTATTTATTAATTATTTGATAGTCACAATTCTAACAGATGGCGCTGTGTTGAAAGTACCAACGTTTCACATAAGCTACAACTTAATGGAATTACCACCAAAAAAGCATGGTGGTCCCCATGACTGGTGTTCTCCTACCGTTTCCCTTGAATAGTTTACTACTACGTAATATAACAAAAACCTTAGCCACAGCAACGCTTGGCCGGTCTGCTAGTATAATATATATATAATATAATCATGTTTATGGCCCAAATTCTATGTAAAAAAAATTAATGTGTAAGATTTGGATGTGTTTCATAACTTATTTTATGTGAATAAGTTATCAATGAAATAGACGTTACAAATATCACTCATGCCTCAACATTAAACATCAAAAAAATCAAGAAAACGGGCAGACCGTGTTCAGGATTCGATTCTTTACCAATATTAACGACTGAACTGATGCTGTGACCTGAATATAATTTAACCTTTCCGAGAAATTATCTAAAGGCCAGTGATTGGGTTCTGTGCTGTTTTTCTATTTCTGTGGACCGTGACCTCACATTTTTTATTCAGTTGACACACCATAAGATTACTGATAATAAATGAGTTATATATTGTTCGTAGTTTTAGAACGTTTATCGAAAATTTAAAGGAACTTGACAGACTTTATTTCAAACATTTTCGTGCTTGTCATTATTTTGTTTTTATTTTCGTTGTGTTACTCATACTTTTATATAAAAAAGGGTCCGTGTACTTATGTACGCGCGTAAGAAGTTATACTTCTTTGAAGGTTGGAAGGTTTGGAAGGTTGATGAGCACAGTTTTTCACCCAAATATTAATTAGTATTGGTTTAAATATTCAATTTAAATCACTTCTGATTATAATTCAAAAAGCATCCTAAATTTCTTTGAAAAAATAATTAAAACTCCTTTATTTGTTTAAAAGGTAAATGACAAATGTCATTATGGTCATTCAAAATTGTTGGCATACGAACTTCACGCATATTCCCTATTTCTTTTACTTGTTTTTCCCTTCCCCCCCCCCCCCCCCTACTTTTTGGTTTTTTTTTTTTCCTCCCCCCCCCCCCCCCCCCTATAATCACACTCCTAATTTTTGTGTCACGGGTGCGCCGCATTGTAAAATTTCACTCTCATAAATTTTTCATAACGCGCCTAAAGAAGTATAACTACAAAAATCTAATTTGTAAAACAATTTAACGCACGTCTATAATCTTTATCAATTAATTATTTATTTTTCTTAACTTGTATATATTTTATTACATATATAGTAGTTGAGTTGTGTGATGTGTCCGTCATGTTTCCTTTTACAGACATATACGGGAATTTATAACGTTATTTTCATTGAGTGTCGGGTAATTATCAGCAATTTGGTATTCAGAAAAGAGTTACACTTTATATTTGATTGTCTAGGGGCCAGTCGTTTTCCCGTTCTATTAAAGGTTTTTTTGAACTCACTTGACTGTCCATCAAGCTGGCTTTGTAAATTCTTTATGATCCTTTGATACTCGCGCAGTTGTTTGTGTTGTGTCTGACACACTTCCGTCATACGCCGTAGCTCCGATCGCGCTGCGCGGAATTTTTTTGTCTACCAAAGATATTTTCCATTTACATAATACAAAAGATTACCCAGAATATATAACACAGTGAAGTATCTTAATAAATATATAAATTAGTGGCGCTTCAACCTTTTTAGGTCTGGGCTCAGATTTCTGTATCTGTTTTATGATAATTTGGCAATCTAATAGGCAAGTAGGTGATCAGCCTCCTGTGCCTTATATACGCCGTCGACTTTTTGGGTCTAAGGCAAGCCGGTTTCGTCACGATGTTTTCCTCCACCGTTGGCGGCTGGTGCGAATGTTAGATGCGCTCATAGACAGAAAGTCCATTGGTGCACACCCGGGGCTCGAACCTACGACCTCAGAGATGAGAGTTGCAAGCTGAATCCACTAGGCTACCACTGCTCTCCAGTAAACTGCTTTTAAGAGCAGTAAAATATCTATCCCAAGGAAAACACTTTTATTCGATATTTAATTAAAGTGCAATTCCAGACCTAACACATATAATTCACGCCCGATACTGACACGATGAAATATTTAACGTAAATATAACTTTATTTTTATTAAATCCTCCGTTCTATAAAATACTGCTAAATAGGTATAAAATATTGATGTTTCAAAGATTTCTTTATGTAAGTCGAACAACAAACTGCCTGACAGCGTTGTTTATTTTTAAAGAGAAAATTCAAATTCCGTTTACAAAGCCAGGTTTAATCAACTGGAGAAATTAATGTGCCTTAAGAACATTATTTATTTACGGTTGTTAAAAAATAAGTCTAAACTTTGCTCATACAACTTAACCGAAAGTAATGCCCAAAAAGGTCCGCTAATTAGCTTAGTTAATTAAGGGTTCAATGGGATTCCCCAAAAGTCCAGGTAACGTCGCTTTGTTGCCATGAAAGATAAATAGCCTTTGACCCTAATTAGAAATGTTATCTCGGAGACGTACTTAATATATGCATAAAAGCAACACTGACCGAATAAATACCTATTTATTACATACTAGCTGGCCTGGCGAAAATCGTACCACTACCGCCTAACAGTCGATTCTTTATTTTTTTTAAATACTTATTCTGCTATTCGGGACACCGGTCTAGCTAGTAAGATAAAAAAAGAAAGTTGATAAGACAACAAATACATTATGCCAAAAAATAAAAATTTACCTTCCCGGAACCCCTCCACTAACATTTGAACTTTATGATATGGTATTAAAGTTCAAATTGACTTTTAAGTATTATTACGAATATTTTGTATGGGAATATAGAAAAGCGTTGTTTTTAGACTTTTTCACTCAATTTTTTTTAATTTTTCTCTCCGTAAGAACCATCCTCGTACTTCAAGGAATATTATAAAAAAATAATCAGACAAATCGGTCAAGCCGTTTTCATGTTATGTCGTGACAACGGAAAACGGGTTTTATTTTTATATATATATTTATATATATATTGAACCATTTGCGCCTGCAGTCCAGAGAATCGTATACAACAGTACCTATTACGCGTGAAAAAGAAAAAATAACATAATTACCGATTGTAATAAATATGACAATAAGCGCCGTCTATGTTGCCGTTGAAATTGTATTACATCACAACTTTTCTTAATTATTTCTTCCGGGTCCGTAAAATAATCTTGAATATCTGGATTCATCTAAAATAAAGAATATTAAATAGGTTTAGAGATAAGGCGCGATCGCTTTCAAATATCTAAACTTTTGCATACTAATTATCTACTCACGTCGGGAACTAATTTCATCATAGAACATGGTGCTCTGCATACTAAACATGTACTTTCTTTTACGCCTGAAAATAATATATTTACTAAAACATTTAGATTATTATTATACAGATAACATTATTTTGTAACGTGGGAAATAACCTCTATTAATACCAGGGTTTCAATAGAAACTATTGAAAGAAAGCATACCATTGTTCAAGCAGTTGTTGCAAAACATATGACCACATGATGTCAGGTGCAAAGTTACTCCAGGTTCTAATTGAGTAAAACAATTGTTACAATGTATCCAATCCATTTTTCGCACAAAATTTTAACAATATTATTTTTTTGATACTTAAATTATTTACACGAATTAATAACATTATTCACATTTTTTACGCAATATTATAATTACGCGCCATTCTACTAGAACTAATATGACGGCTGACCACAGATTATAGTTATTTTAATAATTAAAGTTGACATGACGTTGACCAAATTTTTAAAAGATCAAAAAAATATTTGAATAACCTTTTTAGAGGTCATGTGCAAATTGTTAAAAATATTAGTATTATTAAATGCATTGTGTTATTTTTAAGTTACAGTAACATTAGTGATAAATTTTATTTATTATGAATTTTCTTTTAATTAGGTACATATATTATATATTTCCCGTGAGATAATAAGAAAACACTTGATAACTAAATCGTTTCCATTATTTATAATTAAGATGATACTGTGGGCATAAATAAGAATAACGACGATAGGACATATCATCGTGAATATATAAAAGAACCAGACGAAGCTACATCCAGTCGTCTTTATATGCGCGCATGGTCGACTGCTTGACCATGACTTTGAAATACATTACGAGTGTTTTATTTATATTTGCCTTGACCTCTCAAAATGTCAACAGTAAATCGGCATGTATGTAATTTAAGTTTTTTGTATTATTAAACTTTATAAACTGTGGAATTAACTCGCAGCATGACAATTTAAAAATGGAATCTTTTATTGAATTAATGTTACAATCTGTGCTTTATAATCGTTCTATTTTCATAAAACATTCGAACCTTTTTCAATTCGTTCTACGTTTGGCGCCATTTTTGATGAAAATTTTATTTTTGTGACATTCGTACCTGTCAATTGCCAAATTTGTTTGATCAGCAATGCCAGTTACATTTCATAATAAATGTGCTTTGTGAATTAAATTTTTTATTTTTAGATAAAATATGTGTGCCAGCGCAACATTTAAAAGCATGCGAGGAGATGTTGGAGATACCTACGAAAAGCAAAGCTTTACTAGAATGTATTCCTGCAAGAGATAGGTAAGACTTTTAATTCTTATTTGACGTAGTTTTTAATTTTAAGAAGAAGGTATTCTGTATGTTCCAGTTTTTTATTACAATCTTTTAAAAATAATTAATAATTAAGTTTTCATCCGCCAATAACAAACATTTCTTTTTCGGTCTTCCAGCCAAAATTCCTAGTGTTATTTTAGACTTTGATAGCCTTACGACATAAATGCCGTGTTTTATTTATCAACATCATAACCATAACGCCGAGATAATAATATAGTCAATTGTTTACTCAATAATTTAGACTACGAATTATACATGACATTCGATTTAAAAATACTTTTTATTATTATCGCGTGACGTAGATACAATGTTGTTTAACATCAACAGGAAAATACGAATAGAAGAACACGAGGAATTTTAATCGAGACTTGGTCTTTATTATTCTTGTAGCACGGTTTATTTGACTATGAAAAATGTGTTTCTAGCTATAACTAACTACAATGGATTTCGATTCATTCCAATTAAGAATACTATTATATAGAGGTCAGTGACCTAGGATATGTTCTTTCTCATATACCTATGATAAAATTGCAACATTGTTTGTGTTTAGATGCAATTTACAAAAAAATATTTGAGGGATTCCAATGATTTTTTATAAAGTATATATGTACCGGCATATTTGAATTTTTAAGAATAATGTGATAATGAATTCAGGCATTGGCAGATTTAAATATCAAATAATGAAGATGAGTTTTATAAACTTTTTGTATAATAAATTAATAAACGCTTTACTTGTCCCGCAAAGGCTATTTCGTACCAAAATCCATGATATAGAATCTATCATAGTTCTACATTTATAGAAATACAGCCAATTCTTACATATTTTATAGAGTAGATCATAAACAAAAGAGAACCACAGATAACAGACACGGCGTTGATAAAATTCTCTCATGAGATTAATAAAACGGAAGGGTACAATTGCCTCAAAGCAATTTTGTACAAATTATGACGATTGATGTTTATTCTCGGGAGGTTACTGTTAGGTTCAGGCATTTTATCAACGCGTCGGATTAATTAATAAAACGTATAATATTTTGATACAAAGTACATTGCACATTTTGACAGCTTATTGCCGAAGAATTATATTGTGGCAATTACAATTAGCTTTTTGAATACAAAAACGTAAAATCATACATTTAACGTCTAATTACATGTTATAGAATGAAGTCCCCCGCATCTGTCTGTATGAACGCGATAAATTCAAAAACAAACGAAAATATTTTACTTTTCAGTCTTCACAAATAGATAGATACTAAATAACAATTATCGTCGAAGAGGTCGCAAAATACACATAGTCCAGGGCGAAGTGGAGGGCTGAAGCTAGTTTGAAAATAATGTAATTTCGTACAAATGGTCCACGATATAATCAGTTTATCTTAGGCTTTTTCTATTCGATTGAGATTATTTCTATTCGGTTTAAGCATGATGGGGATGCTTCTTCGCGGCATAATAGTTTTTATGAATATACAATTTTTTTATTAAAAAAGAGTCTATAAACTCAGCGGGCAGCTATTGATGTTTTCTAATCACTGATATAATTACTGTGTTTAACGTTAATTTGGGATAACTTTTTATTCAATAATAAACTAGCACTAGCACTTAGCAGACTCGGCCAAGCTTTGCTGTGGCTAAAGTTTTTGTTATATTACATAGTACTATTCAAGGGAAACGGTAGGAGAACACCAGTCATGGGGACACATGGGGAGCATGCTTTTTTGGTGGTTATGCCATTAAATTGTAGCTTATGTGAAACGTTGGTACTTTCAACACAGCACCATCTGTAAGAATTGTGGCTGTCAAATAATAAACAAATAATTTGCAATAAAATAATATTACGGGTGTAAATGAAGATGTAAGCTATCCTATCTTTTAAGTTAGTTCAAAATGCACACGGTATGCAAATTTGATTGAAATCGGTTAAGTAGTTTAGGAGTCCATAGCGGACAAACAACGTGACACGTAATTTATATATATTAAGATTATGTTATTTATTTCAATAATCGAATAAGTTATTTTACTAATAAAAAAGCAGTGTTGGCCTAGTGGCTTCAGCATGCGACTCTCAGAGGTAGTAGTTTCGATCGCCGGCTGTGAACTAATGGAATTTATTTCTCTGTGCGCATTTAACATTAGTTCGACAGGTAAAACAAAGACCATGAGGAAACCGGCTTGACTTAGACCCATAAAGTCGACGGCGTGTGTCAGGCACAGGAGTCACCTACTTGCCTATTAGATAGACAAATGATCATGAAAACAGATACAGAAATCTGAGGCCCAGACCCCCCCTATTTTGTAGCACCACAGATTTATTATTATTTTTTACTAATAAAATTACTTACATATTTCTCATTAGATTTCAGCAAAACATATCTTTATAAAAGCTAAAATATTAAAATAATCATATCAAAAGAAAAACTCCAATACTTTAAACTTAAAAGAATTTTCGTTACATCAAATTCAGTTGAATTTTACGACTTCTGTTTTGTATCACTATGAAGATTTATTTTATGATTCCACTGAGAACACGAACGCTTGCAGCGATATTAAAATTATATGAAGAATTTTCTTAACGTTATTCAATATTCCTTAAACCCCTATTTTAACTTTTAAAAATTTTTTTTTTTTTAATAATTTTTTTAACATCTCTTTTTGCCGCTTATCCCCTGGTATCTCTCCTCATATCGCACAGTATTAGATAAAAAACAGTGTTTTTACGAATACAGGAATCAGGAACTTCAGAAACTTAGGAACAGGACTTTCATAGGGCATAAATGAAACACCATCAATATTTTAAATTGTTTAATATTTTCAATACTGTATCGATTCCTGAAGTAGTGTATACCTCTAAAATTCTAAAGCAGACTCAATATAAAACCTACTTTATATAACCCTATTCACTTTGTACGAGCGTGCTCAAGATCCAATAAACTGAGCTTATGTTTCTCTTGAAGGAGATATAAATCTCACTCTATCGCTCTATCTGTCCTTAGAGACTTACGAGAGTGTTAATCTACGTGAATTAGATATTTTCTTCGAGATGCTTTCCCAAGGATTACTACGCAATAATTGAGAGAGATATATAGAGAGAGCTATATACAGATAGCTAGATGGTCAGCGTCTAGTTTGTCACTATAGTATACATATAGCCCTCGCTACTTCGTATGCGCTTCCATGTTTTACTCTAAATAAATATATATTTAAGAAACAACTAAAACTGTACCTATAAACCTATGTTATTTTTACCTGTCGTTTGTTACCCTGTTCAGGTATTTTTATATTAAGTAGTTTTGTTTTATGTCCTGTGTTACGTCTAGATTATTTACGACTGGGATGTCTCGAAGAAACTGTTTTAGCAGTAAGACCAAGCCTATTTTCGTACATAATTTTTTTTTCCTTTTTTGTGATATTGTGATGTTAATAAAGTTATTATTTTAAAGAGCGGGAAGCAAGCTATGTATGCATTTTTAAAACTTCTCAAATTATCACTCAGAAGCCTAAAAATGAATTATTATATTTTAGAAAATACATGTTTGAGTTCAGAGTTACATAATTATTTATCTATTAAGAAATTATTAACTTAACGGTCCTTAGAATGTCTCAGCCTCATCGCGATCTAGCTTAGAACAAAACTATAATTCTTCATACTTTAAATTATTTGAAAGACAGTGTCTACAGTCTACACCCATCTTTAGTAATTTACACACGATACTAAAACTATCCGCAATAATTTTATCAACAGATTTCCAAAAAAAAATACTTTTCAACTGTAATTGTAATTTATGTCGTAACGTTAAAGGTTAATATATCTATATATACAAATAGTTCCATAATTTCACTCAATCCACTGCTTGGGTGGGGATTCATTTGCCAACTCCGCTGTTATATACTAAAGAAATAAATTATATACAATAAGAGTATCAATCTTGTAAACGATAGTCAATACCGCTTCCTAATACACGTTTTCAATTTCCTGTCATGTCATGTAATGCTACGTATACGAGGCAGGGGAGGCTTAATGTGCCCACCCATTTGCCGATATGAACACCTTAGTATAGATATTTTAAAATTTAGGTTAACCAGTTACCTCCTGTATTTTCACTTTCAACAGTAGATGTTTTTAAAAGACTATAGCGGTATAGTGGTTTACAGGTTGTCCATAACTTAAGTGTATTTATTTCAAACTACAGGTAACTTAAATTATATAACAAAAAACACTATACTAAAGATATACTAAAGATAGAATACGTAATACAAAAAGGTTTAAATATTTACGAAACTTGAAAGGAAAAAATCAATAAATTTAAATACATTTCTAAGTTATCTAATGTGCGGTGTGTAAGTGAGGGTGTGTAAGTGTGGGTGTGTAAGTGAGGGTGTGTAAGTGAGGGTGTGTATGTGGGGTGTGGTCATGATGCAGGTTATTTAGCGCTATGGACAGTTTTCATACTCCTTTTAAGCATTCCGGTATAGCTTAAATAAGTTGAGGCAAATAGAGTTGTATTTTATTAAAAAAACCTTACCTTTTTACATTCAATGTGTGGCATTTTATATGACAGAAATCTATAAAATCCAAATTCTGGCTTGATTAATAACTTTTATCAATTTCAATACAACATTTCTTGTCCGTGGTTATACATATAAAAAATTAACAGGCCACTTCTGAAAAGAGCTAGATGAAAGATATAATAGAATAAATTCGCGTTAATATCCGTTAAATAAAAAATAAACTGAGGAAACTGGTATGTCTGAAGATCCAAAAAATCTACAACTGTCAGGCACAGATCTCCTTCTCGTCTATAAAAGAAATTGGTTAATGAAACTTTTACAATCTTCGACCAAGACTATAAGGTTTCAGCGCCTCAAAATATATGTATATATGAACTAAGCATATAACTTCTTTATTTTATGAATATTTTGTTTGTAGAGTGGAATGTTTGAGCTATGTACAACAACGGCAGGCTGATTTGGTACCCGTCGATCCCGAGGACATGTACGTAGCCTCCAAAATCCCTAACCAGGATTTCGTCGTCTTCCAAGAGTACAGGACGGACGAGGAGCCAGACGGTAACTATGCTTAAAATATCTATTATGGTCTGTTAATGGCCAATTGTGGAATACATTAAAACAACGGTCTAATTCAAACACAAAAATTAGTCAAATTATAGTAACCTCATTTAGTAAATTATTATTTTTTAAGTAAAAGAGAATTTCAGGCTACTAATCTCATATCTTAATTATTCAAATGTTGGAAAATAAAATGAATATAAAAATATTTTGACAAGATTTTTAAAACTATTTAAAGATTATTAAAAACAAATTCTTATTGAGTCTTATCGAGTCCCTGAGTCCCTTTCACTTTCTTGTGTTATAATATCTTGTATTAGTATATTAGTTTAATTTTTAATTACCTTTTAGTCTTTAAGTTAAAGCTAGATCGTAATGTCTCAGTGCAGACAGATGTATTAAAAAAAGTATATGAAACATATATTGATGCATGCAATAAATGTAAAATAATTTAGAAAATACCCAATTAGCAAAACATAAGGACGAAAAATATGTCAACATTAACAGTGCTCCCAACAAGAACTTTCGTAAGTTTCGTAACATAACCGGACCTATGCACACGGGATAGAACCCGTTTGACTAATAGATCGGAATTAATTTAATAGGACGGAGACCAAAGCTATTAATTGCGTTAGAGACATTTAAGCTTGATAGAGATTTTACGGTTCAATGATCCACCTGCACGTGTAAGGAAAATAAAGGAAGCATTTGTTTTACCTTATAAGAACTAATCAGCCTATTACTAAAACCCTTGACGCGTTTTATCGCAGCACAAAAGCGATTTCATAGAATGATAAAGGTATATTAATTAAAAATACTTAACCTTGAATTAAGTATTTGTAATTAGGTACCTATAGATAAAAATTTCACTTCTAAAATCACCGTACGTAAATCTTCTACTTAAAATTGTGGCACCGAGATTAACCTGTAAAAATGTCATTAGAGGTCTTCAATGCAAATATTAATTATACTAATATTTAACATAATAAGAATACAGTTTCTGCGATATTTAATGAAAATTGCTAAAGGATTGCCCGACTTTAAAATTTAATATTCAAATGACTTTACCTTATCAGAAACAGACATAAAACTTTAATTTCCTTTGCGGATATTTCTAAGCTGGGATTAAATTTTTATTATACTGACAACGGATCGTAAACCCGAACATAAAGTGAAATTCGCAAACGCCGTGACAGAATTTTCGGGCACGTGTTTCGTACTAGCAGAAACACACCTAGGCGACTTCCATAGGTCCATTTATGCTTTTTTCTTATTTCCGAGTGACTGTCATATTTGTTAGTACTTTATACATTCACTAACATTCTTAAACAAATCTTCTCCACCGGTCCTATGCTGAAACAACGATCCTTATTGTGTAATAATAGTTTATTTATAATATGTAACTGTTTATAAAATTATTGTTGAGTTTATTTTGACCATTAACGTGTCAAAAGGAAGAGACTAGCTGCCCAAGACACAGGGAATCCTAGTGTAGTGCTAGTGCACTTTCTTTTTACCTAAATATCCTTTTTATTGTGTATAATAAAGTTCTTTCTTTCTTTAGTGTCCTAAGAACTAGTACAATAAGTTAGTATTAATATATTTCCGTAAAAAAATACTTTAAAGATTGTGTTTCGCAACCGCGAACAAAACGAGTCAATCCTCAACCTAATTATTCCAAAAAGTTCATGAACACCGGCTGAGGCAAACATGCTCGATGTACAATACTTTGGCTTTAGCTTACATAACAAAAAATAATTCCGTTACATGTTCTGTCTTATTGGTATAAAAAAAGGGCGTGCGTACAAAGTACACGAGTCATATTTATACAAATCTAAAACTTTAGATTTCCGAGACTTAAAGGGAGGGAAAAAGGAAGATATGTTAGGAATTTATCATTATTAAAAGTGTCGATAATTAATACAAATAATATATATTTTTTTAAATCTATTTCTTCGATATAAAAACACGTGACATTTTAATTTCAAATTCGTCATTTCAGATTTCAATAAATTATTTTGCATAAAACATAAAATACTTATACGTATTTCATAAATTCTCTTTATAAAATTTTAATTTAAAAATTGAATTTCTATATAGAAATTCACCCTTATCTCTCTCTCTCTCAATCGGTCTCAATCACTCTCCCATTTTCTTCGACAAAAACGCTGCCCATCTTCGTGACGTTCCGTAAAAATTTTACCCTCATGCGACTAAAGAAGTTTCACTTCAATTAATTTAATTAACGTATAATCAACAATCTTTAAAGTCATAACACTAGAAGAAGAAATTGTGAGTCGAATAAAATAGTCTAGTCTACATCCAAAAGCAATTTTGATTAATGTTAAAACATTCTTACAACACGAGTAGCTATTCTTCGAATCGCTTCAACGTTTCTGCGCCATTTACAATTCCTATTTATTTAGATTGCTCTCAAATTCTCATCGGGACCGTATCCAATTCAAATATTCTGATCGCTCGATCCAATAATATTGATGGAAATATTTCACTCCACTTTTCCAAGTAGCTGAAAATGTAATAATGTTAGATTTATCATCGTAAAACTATTTATGGAATTTGCGATACAGAATTGTTGAACATAACAGGCAAAATACGTAAATGTTTTGCTTAAATTTGGTAGCAAGCCGAATATTTGAGCATATTCAAGGACTAAATCCTAAATGCAAAACAAAATAGTTTACGTAACCGTTAATAGCGTTAGACATTCCCAGGTCTCTTTATACTGATAAATTATAAGCAATTGCTTGGAATTTTTCTATGCGTTTAGTAGAGCCTACTCCAGGTTGTAGGCATGAGTGCCTTCTAAGCTGTACAAGAATCAAATTCATTAAGACAACTCATATATCTTCATCACCGGACGTCGAGGCAGAATACCAAACTCCACCAGTATCACATCGACTCGTCCGTCGTTTCACAAACTGAGCATTTTCTATGGCAGTTTCTGCCGCGCACTATGTGCTGCCCACTGAAGTATTTAACCAATTCGACTTAGGATCCTTTAAGAAAAGAGCGTACCAATTCTTAAAAGGCCGGCAACGCACTCACGAGCCCTCTGGTATGAGTCCATGGGCCATATCACTTAAGATCAGGTGGGCCCTACTGCCCGTTTCCCCCTATTCTATAAACCCAGGGCATTAGATCTCTCGGTCTTATGGCGAGAGCACATCACACACACACCCGTATCGTTGAAACATATTCGAAAATCTTTGACAAATTTAATATTTTTGTTGAGTAATCGACAAAATTAATATGTAAAAGTTGTCAACGTTTTCACAGCAACACCATTCATTTCTATCATACATGTGATAATTATGTAACATTACGAGAAATGAAACGAGAGTCGCGCATAAAAAGCACCTATGCAATCAGCACATTTGGTTCACAAAGAGGAAAATTTCAATTCAGCGCTATGTAAACAGACTTGACACTCGCTGAATGCTGATATCGAGTGAATAGTGCTGACACAAGATTGTTGCATTCGGAGTTCAGCCAACATTCAGTAAACGCTATTCAGTATGCATGTACCGAAGTTTTCTCTTAGTGCTTTAATCCTTTGAAATTTAAGGCACATTTGACTAGTGTGTAAGTAACTTCGCGACTATATTAAGAGTTTGTATTTGTTCAATATAGATTATATATTTTTATTTTTAACAAAATAAGCTGTCATTACAGACTACTGCAATGCGGCAACTTGCATTTATATCACATAAACAGTCACATAGAACAAACACTACAATATTTTAAATATAGATTTTATTTTGATTTCAGTATATGAACCATTTTTAATATGTTTATTTTTATTTGTGAACCATTATTAGTATTGTATTTTATTGACATAACTTTTAGACATAGAAAAACACATTTTTAACGGATTTGATGTTATGTTTTATTATAAATTTACAATATTTTACATACATAACTTCAAATCCGTTAAAAAAGTGTTTTTCTATATTATTTATTTGTTTTTTATTAACTCAACAAATACATTTAATGAATGTTATATATACTGAGCTCCTTTCTTACCTGTGTTAATTCTGTCGTAACTTTCCGCGTATAGCGTTCCTGATAAATGGTTAATCCAACACAAAATTTTCAATTAAAATTCAGTAGGTAGTGCCTGAGATTAACACGTTAAAGTTAACAAATAAATAAACTCTTCAGCTTCATACATATATATGAATTCTTTCAACACCTTGAATTATTCAAATGTCGTCCTCACATAACTCGTATGTTTCATAAAAATGCCTGGGAATCGCTATAGCCCCACAAAGCTAACCCAAATAACCTTAGACCCGACATAAATCAGGACGTTTCTGGAAAAATGGACGTCATAAAGGTTGAGAATAAAGCCCTTGAAATATATGAAAATTGGAATGTAACGAGTATGTAAGAAAATGGCATAACTTATCCTTTTTTTTTCTATATTTCTGATACGGTATATGAATATTTACAAATAATAAAATTGTCATCTCCATGGAAGTGTTAGCCCCGTAAAGTACCTACTGAGTACATTTCCCGAAACAGTTATCGTTTCGTCAGTATTTGCATGTTTCAAGTCTTACCTCTAATCTTTGGATGCGGCGATTCATTTCGCAATGCAACGTTTTTCAACATTTAGAGTCGGGACTTTGCGGTATATCACAGATATTCCTTTAAATCTCTACTATACAAATATTACCTGTCCACATCGTATCCCTAACTTTCGTGGTGATGTGAAACTGATCTAAAATTATCGTGATTCATGTGCACTTTTTCGTTTTCATGTGTCCGTTTTTTATATTTCCCTGATTTACCTTTGTTTTTTAATTGCTTTGTTTGTACTATTAGTTTTGTCTTAATAACCTTATCTATTTTAATTATGTTTGTTTCACAGTACTTGCCTGGAAGAGATCGCTCGAAAGCAATAAGGCCGCCAGTTGCCCTCTTTTTCATTTAATTATGTCAATTGTATTACGTATATTGTATGCAACGAAGTGTTAATAAATAAATAAATACATAAATATTTGTAAAAACGTATTGAATATCATACTTAACTAAGTATCGACTAGATAAAATAACGTAAATTGTCCAACATTTCTTGCAGTGTTAATGTGTTAACGTAGTCTACAAGTAAAAGTCCCTCAGAATAATCCATCGTAATGCCCTCAAATCTCCTGCTATGCCTGTGGGAGCTTATCGTCTCTCCCAAAATAGGACACTAATGTATATACTGTAACTAAATTATTAAATAGCACGGAAGTGGCGTAATTAAACGAAAGCATATTGTTGTGTCTCCGAGAACAAAAGACTGTTTCTTTGCACAATGCCAGATAATTAACGAAACGCAAGCTCAGTGGTTGGCTTTAGAAAACCGCTTTCATTATTTGATTAAATTCGAGTTTTCTCCTCGAAACTCACAAATAAAGACCGTTAATTGGTTTTCTTCTTAAATATCATTATGATTTCGTTTATTCACGCATGAATAATACGGAAAAGCACGAAAAAGTAATAGAATGGTATATTTTTATACACTCAAAAGGAGTTCCACATATTTCAGATCTAAACAGATTATATGAAAAGTCGATACGTAGGTGTGAAATACTTCTTATACGAATATTTGCCGAGTCTTAAAGAACGAGCTAAGCTCTATACTAAAGCTCAACAGAAGTATTCGTCTAGTAGTTGATAAACCTTCCTTGCCTGTCACGCCGAAAATGTTTGGAAGTGGGACACGCTAGTTTCTCCGTAATATTATCCTTTACCGCTTGAGCGACTATTATTTGAGCATTTAAGAGTATATCCATCGTTGCCCGGGCTTTAAACACAACACTAACCCTAGCTAAGTAAAATATGAGTCTAGCAAATAACCCATTAGTTTAACAACTGCCTCGGTAATTCCAGAGGTCAGTCTCTGGGAGTAAATATTAAATTTAAAAAATGGCCCCTATTAAAAAATTAACCACACGAAGGCCTCATGCAGTAATCATCATCATAAATAGCTATACAGCCTTGTGGTAGCCTCCTCAAGTATATTTAGCGTCCAACTTCGAACACCTATTGTTTCGAAATCCTTACAAACTCCATCCCACCAGTTCTGCCTCGGTCTACCGGGTTTTTTCTTGCCACCAGGTTATGAGTTCAGTAAGGGGTTCCGTCGTTCGCCATTTGGTGCACATGTCCCAACCACTTTAGCCTGTGCATTTTATGAAATAGACGATGGTGGCGTCGTTGCTGTTATAAAGTTCGTCATTGTAGCGAATACGCCAAACACACTAGAAATGTAGTGCCTTAAAGCAATTGTTTATTTGCAGCGGAATTTCGGTACGAGGCGGTAATAGTCGTTCACAAAGACCTGAACATAAATAACTTAGATCAACTCAAGGGTCTGAAGTCCTGTCACACGGGAGTTAACAGGAACGTCGGATACAAAGTAAGTATTATGGTTAGAATTAATTCCTTGCCAGAGCCAACGAATAATTAAAGCTGTTTAATAATTCAGAAACTGGTCTGACTACAAAATATCAACAATCTCTTTTGCTATATTTATGTTTCTAGGTGCGAGTTTTGATATAAATACACAAACGTTTACTCACAAAAACAGTAGACGTTAAATTGTGTTGTTTGTATAATGTCTATTGTCGAGTCACACACAATTGTTGGTTAGTTTAAGTATATATAACTAGATTAGTTACATCTAACATAAGCTATCTTTAGCTAAAACAAAATTAATATGAACGACAGTTGGAACATATTATTTCAATACGTTTTAGTATTTACCATTAAAATTATTTGTAAATTATCGAGAAGTTAGGATCTAAATTTGGGCGAATATATCCGATCCTATGGATTGTGGATATCATTAAAAAAGACGACTGTGCGACAAGGACGAAGTAAAGGCATATTATACATTGCCAATAAAACATCGCATTCGATAAAAATTTGCAAATGAAACGAGAGTAGCGACCCAGATTCCAACCAATATTAAATAAAGAGATATTCTGATCTCCAACCGTAGCTAATATAAAGATTGATATAGAAGATTTTTATAGGCCTATACTACACGAGCTGTCAATTCACAAGTATAATTCGAATGGCCTTTCGATTCCCGGCAAAACAATTTTCAAAAATTCGTCAAAACCAGATCGATAAGACAGACGCGGAACATGTCTTAAGTTCCATTGGATATCACGGAGCTTTAAATTATATGCAACTTCCGACTAGAAGTTTTCATCTTGCATCAGCTGCTTAGTCTGTCTAATTAAATCTTGATAACCACAAAAAACACTGTAGATAACGATAAGCAATAAATGAATAATTAGTAATAAATTTCGAGGTGGAAAAATTTAGTGTAATTTTTCTTACTCTTTTTCGGTTACGCCATGTTGCTTTTTGAAGTCAAACTTCTTTATCGCTTGAATGAAACTTCTTTATCGACGTATGGGAGAAATTTGTAGCAAATTACGTTTTTCAATGATATAATAATTCTATTACAATTAATGAAATTCTATAATAATCTTCGTAGTAATAAGGTAAAATGAAATATTTGTATTCATGTCTATGATAATAAAAGCCTTTTGTTAAACTTTATCTAATTTAACGAATTTCTGTAAAGTTGCATATAGTAGATCATTTTTCGAAAAATAAGATCATAAAGAAGTTTCACTTCTTACGTGTGTACACCTAGTACACGCACAATTTTTTTTTTAATGGCTCTGGCACGATTTGTGCATTAGCCAGCGTCAAGTATAGAATTTTTATTAATTCGTGCTTTGTCTTTAGAAATTCGACCGTGTCCTCCCAAGTACGGTTTAAGAACTCGCCCGGTACCGCACAACCCTCCCAAAGGCCGAGAACAAATTTAAGTTAAATTAAAACTTGCCCTCGAACCGGGAATCGAACCCGGTACCCCTCACCTAGCTGCCACTTAATAAGACCGCAAGGCCCCTAATGAATAATTTAATAATCAACCAAACAAACTAAATTCGAATAAAATCTTTTGACTAAAACTAGTTATTAATTCAATTTAATTAAAGATTCGAGACTTAGCGCAAAGTTTATCTTTATTAATTAAAATAAAATGAGATCTCAAGAGTACAACGACGAATATTAAAAATAAAACAGTGTTACAATTCTCGTCGCGTAAGCCCCTTAAGACATTCAACATACAATAAAATCTTGTTTCTAGAAATGGATTCTTTTACCAGAGGGAATATTATAATTTATTGGAGATTGATATTCGATACATGCCGCAAAGTAATAAGGGTTTTATACGTGAACGTAATACAGGAGAAATACTGTCTCCCAAACGTTTATATTGCGTACATACTACATGTATTTATACTATTCGTTTATGTTTTAACTTATGAGACTTATTCTTTTTTATTTACAAAAGCTTGCCAACGCTCGGCACACTGATACATTGGTACAAGAAAAATAAAATAAAATATTTAATGTGACAAGCACTTAAAGGCAAACATAATATACACGAAGAGGTAAAACAAAATTAAATTAGAAAAACTAAAGGAAAATTGATTTCAATGATGCCGCATACCACCACTATGTGGAACCGGCTTTACTTCGGAAATATTTCGGTGGGCTTAAGGTACCAATTCTTAAAAGGCCGGCAACGCACTCGCGAGCCCTCACTCACTCAGCCCTCAGCCACTGGCATTAAGAGTGTCCATGGGCGGTATCACTTAACATCAGGTTGGCCTACTGCCCGTTTGCCCTTGTTCTATAAATAAAAACGGAAAAACATATGTATCACAATTCTAAGCTAAAGCTTTCTACTATACCTAATTATGAAAATGTGTTCAGTTGTTCAAAGAATTTAAAAACTTTAAAATAGTAGAATCAACATGACTAGTCAGTTGATTCTTTAGAGTTAGATAAGTAAATGTACTTAAAGTATTCCATTGTCATAAAATAATTATGAAAAAAATCTACAGTGATTGTCATAACATGAATTGATTGCCCATACTTGTATAGTAAGTAGTTGCATAGTTTGTAAAAAATCTTGTAAAAACCACACATATTGTAACGTCAATTCACGGCCTCAAAGCGGCATTAAGCATTTAGAAACGTGTCTTTACAACTCATATCTCAGTCTGACACAAAGTTTTACTTTGGAAGAATAAAGTTAAGGAAATTTTAATTATACCCTTTTTAGATACCGCTAACGATGCTTATGAAGCGGGAAATATTCCCAAAAATGACTGACCGGACAATATCGCCTAAGGAGAATGAATTACGCGCCCTTTCGACGTTCTTCAAGAAATCTTGTATCGTTGGTACTTGGTCACCGGATCCAAAGACAACTGCTGCGTGGAGTGAGTATTGTTCTGAATTTTTTAATTATATAGAGACGTATATGAAACTTTACAACCATTATAATGCAACCATGGTATTTTTTTTATTTTTGAATTTTGTCGTCATTAGTAGTAAGTTGGTAAGTCAACAAAGAAAAAAAGTTCAAATCTTTCCGTGTAAAAACTCAAAGCTGGAATACATATACCAATAATAAGTTTATCTTTTACGAAAATCCTATAGTGAAAAAATCCTATTAATTTGAGTTCAGAATGAACAAAGTTTGCTCAGGAACTGCTCGAGCGGTCCGTGTATTGCAAATATGAATTTAGTGTGGAAACTGCAGATTGCCGTGCGGCGACCGCATATTGCAGTCGGTCTTGACTGCAACATGCGGCCCGTCTATGGCCCGGCCCGCTTAAGGACTAAATTAACAAAATATATATAGTATTTTTTTAAATTTAATTGTGTTTTAATACAAAAGTTCGAATGATGAATTAAAGAAAAACTAGAGTGTTATTTAAATAAACAAGAAGTTCAAAACGTCTAAATTAAATTTATGTTTTGGAAAAATTATTGATTGTTATATGCTAATTACACAGTGAGTTAACTAGGTACGATAACTAGGCGTTTTCATCATTAAAAGAAATTGAAATTCGTGAAAAACCCCTTTTACTAAACAATAAGGCGTAAAATAATAAGCGAGGTTCAGGTAAGGGTCATCAAGAAAATGAGACTCAAAAATAAATGAGGTTAGAGCAACAAGTTGCTCTTCATAAAGAACTTACAGAAATTTTTCACATCAAAGTGAGGATACTCGAAAAACTTCGCAACTCGACACAATGATTGATTAAACCGGAGAAAAGTTTAACTACTGCTCTCCCATAACTTTACAAATATGACTATGAGATACGCTAAATATGTTATATAATCATGAGTTTGGAAGACGGAACAAATTGCTTTTGGTAGGAAAATTTAATTTAGCAATTTTTTTTTTGTACTCTTAGCATTCTGATCGCATATAAGGAATAATTCCCTCTCATTGCAGTCATGTTAGGTTTTTTACTGTGTTTTATGTTTATTACTCGCGTGCAATGAAAACAATAAAATAAAGAAATTATAAAAAAAAATGTTTTTCGTTAAAATTTTGAGATTACAAACAAATCGCAATATTTTCTAACATACTTTGTACTTCTTTACGATATAAGTAATTATCTTTTTTTTTACGTGAAAGATATCGACAAAGAAAATTACTGTAATGGGCTATCGGGCTGATTAACTAGATACATAGGCTTCCATAACAATAAAACCTTATTAATTACAGAGGGTCAATATAGCCAATTGTGTGCGATGTGTGAACATCCCGAGCGATGTGATTATCCGGATAACTACAGCGGGTATGAGGGAGCTTTAAGGTGCCTCGCCCATAATGGTGGAGAGGTCGCCTTTACTAAGGTCATATATGTGCGGAAGTTCTTCGGGGTATGTTATCTTTGAAGTTTCAAATCCCTAATATTACACCTGAGTTAACTTACCATATATTACTTAACGAGTTTAAATTTTAATTAAAATTAAAATTTATTACAATGTAACTGGCAGTATAGTTACAGATATTGAGGCCCAAACCTAAAAAGATTATAGCGCCACTGATTTATTTATTTAGTTCAGACACTATGATTTTTAGTAAACTTTTCATGCAATAAATACGTAATTCAAACAAATCTCGACAGTTGCCAGTAGGCACTACACCCGCCAGCCAATCACCAGAGAACCCTGACGAGTTCTCATATCTATGCGCGGATGGGTCTAAAGTACCGGTTAGGGAGAAGCCTTGTTCCTGGGCCGCACGGCCTTGGCAAGGGCTATTGGGACATAATGACGTCCTTGCCCAGCTGTCCCCACTTAGGGAAAAGATAAAGCAGTTGGCTGATGCTGGTAAGTAATTTAAGTCAAATACTGTGTAATTGCATAGCGAAAATATGATTACGTAAATAACTATTTCTTGTATTTACTTTTTTATATTATTTATTTTTATCCTGTATTAAGACCAAATATAATTCACAGCACAGCACATATAATTATCATCTATGGATTTCCATAGCGAAATACCTAATTGCGTAAAAAATATTTTACTATCTTTGTCAAATACAAGATAAAAATGTCCCTTGAAAATATAGACATCTCTCATTGATCATTCTACAGACTGAGAATCTCAAAAATATTTGTATGTTCTTGTTAAATACAATAAAAACATAAATTCTAAAGTATGATAGGTAAGCCGCTTAGGGCTTAATCGGTTATGATGTTTTATAAACATAGCGGGAACAGTTATTTTTTGTGGGAAAACAGCAGCCACTCTGAATAAAATTCTAACAGCCATTTTATCGCGTCATATGAAATTCAAATTCAAACCATTATGTGATCCTTGAATTAAAAACAAAAAATATGTATTGATCCTATGTTCCATTGGAACACAATACAATTTAAATTCCGCGATACGATTCTCGACGAGAATTATGGAGCCAAAAAATATATATTATAATTTACAGCACATTAGTCCGAGAGCTTTTACTAGCAAATTCATTAAATATTCTATATTTTACGACTTATTTAAATAAAAAGCATTTGGCGTTTACTTCATAATTATCTTCATAAACGAAACACTGTATCGTCCGTCACATGATCTCACGCGAACTTTAGGCAAACGCATAAAAGGAGGGGAAGGGACAAAACGTATACCCAAATAAATTGGATTAAAAAATAATAAATAGGCCAGCTATTACCATTTTCAAATAAAAATATGTTACATAGGTGCCAGCTCCAAGCCCGATTGGTTTGTAAATGTACTCGGTCTCTCTGATAAAATCCATCATGTCGCTGATAATATACCAATCAGACCAGCCGACTACTTGCAAAAGGCGAACTACACTGAAGTCATTGAACGTGGCCATGGACCACCTGAGCCAGTTGTGAGGCAAGTATGATGGAGGCTTTTGGAGCAAATAATTCATTTTTGTATGTCTCTCTTTTTAACACATCGTAAACTCAGTATGGCAGAAACGAACGAATGAGTACATTCGTGTGTGCGGAAAATTAGTTTTTAAAAGATTGATAACGAACAACTGCAATGGTTGTTTTATTTAAGATATTTAAAATAAGTGTAGTTTTTTTTTTGAAGTTATACTTCTTTTGGCGCGTTAGGAAAAAAAGATGAGAGTAGGTATTTTTTTACGATGCGCGCGCCCACCGTCACAAAAACCCAACACCATGAATATCTGTTCAAACGTCGGTAAAACAGTCTGGGCCGCTAGTTGGCGCTTGCTCTGTTTTATCGACAAGTTGCATTGTCTGTCTTGGCGTAGTGGTTTTCAGTGTCGTGTCTCTTTAAACCAAAATAATGTGATAAAAACATAGTGTTTATTGTAAAATATCATGATTAGTACATATTATATCGTTTCGATTGGAAGTGACCATTAACATGCACAAGAAAAATGCATTTCGATGAGGGAAACGTCCCATTAAAGTGCTCGAAGAAAATTATTACGCTAAAGAAGTATAACTTCAAACGCGTGTACATAATTACACACGTTTATTATTAAAATAAAATAAAATTAATTTTTTATAATATATTAAACGCATTTTATAGGTTATGTGTAACATCAAACGTGGCGTTAGCAAAATGCCGTGCAATGTCAGTGTTTGCCTTCAGTAGAGATATTAGACCAAAATTGGATTGTGTACAAGAAGCCTCGGAGGATGCCTGTCTTAAAAGTGTAAGTTTTCAATTCATTTTTAGATTATTTTGTATATTAACACATTTTTGTTTTTATATAAAAACCTCTTAATACTGGTTGCTTGAAAAAGATAGCTGATTAGAGCCGATATAGGGCTTTTTGATAAAAAAAAATTTTTTCTAAAGTGAATTTTTCGTGTGTTCCGCATCTCACAGCATAGGTATTGTAAATATTTATCTAGGTTTGATATAGTTAAAAATTACTGCGGATTACAAAATAAATAAATCTTCGAGTTTTGCTACAAAAAACAATAATTTTGAGAAAAAAAAGAATTACCATATAACCCGACTTCAAATCCTATTCAAGCCCTATTTCAACTCACTATAAATAATTATAAACCCAAGAAAAGTTTTTATCAAAATCGATTCATCAATTTCGGTTTCAGCAATATGTATATAAAGTTATATATAGATAAGTTATTTCCTTAGGTACAAGACAATGGATCAGATTTGGCCTCCGTTGACGGAATGAGGGTAGCGTCAGCCTCAAAGAAATACAACCTCCATCCCGTATTCCACGAAGTGTATGGAGAAAACAAAATACCTAATTATGCTGTTGCGGTAGTTAAGAAAAACAGTGTATTTGCTAAAATTGACGATTTGAGGGGAAAACGGTGAGAAAATATTTTTTTTCTAGACCAAAAAGACATCTTATCTGTTCAAAATTAAAAAAAATTATATTTTTTACTAAAAAAAATTATATTTTTTACTTATCATAAAATAGATTATTATTTCTATGTTTGAAATCTTGTGTATATATGAAATAGAAATTTAAAATGAAAATTTTATCAAAATTTGGCTCTTGCACTATGAAATACCAACTAATATGTTCATAGTAGGGTTGCCAGGAAAATTAATTTGACAGCCCATTGTCATTCCATTATTTGGTATTATTATGCAGTAGTAGGTTAACACATAGTAGTAGGTTTTTTTTATAGAACGGGGGGCAAACGGGCAGGAGGCTCACCTGATGTTAAGTGATACCGCCGCCCATGGACACTCTCAATGCCAGAGGGCTCGCGAGTGCGTTGCCGGCCTTTTAAAAATACAGATATTATCACTTCAATTACCTTTTTACAGATCATGTCACAACTCCTTCAGTACTTTCAGTGGGCTGCAGGCTCCACTTTATTATTTAATCAACAAAAGACTCATAAGTTCTGATCAGGTATGTATTAATGACAAATTAATAAAACTTAAGGCGTGTCGGTTTTGATAAATTAATCAAATGTGTTTTCCCAAATAAATTAAAAATATATTTTTATATAAATTATGAATTTAAAGTATTTATAAAAAATTTCTTTCTTTACTTTAGAAGTTGGTTACAAATATGTGTTTGATAGTTGTTCAACAATACAATTTCAGTGTATCAAGAATTTCGGTGGCTTCTTTGATGGGTCCTGTTTGCCTGGTGTAGACAAAGCAGAAAATAATCCAAGAGGTAATAAAAACCACAACATATTGTTCAAATGTATGAACCATTTAACTATTTTTCTATATGTACTACTACAATTTTACAAATCTACTGATAATTTACCTAAAAACCTGACACAATTCTACAAAATAGATTATCATTCTCCATTGACATTACCTGTGGGTAAATTCTATTTTCTGTCCTTAAATATGTTTAATAACCAAATGTTTTTAGGCGATGATGTATCAAAGTTGAAGAAGCAATGCTCAGGAGATGGCAACGCAGTCAAATGCTTGAAAGAAGATAGAGGAGATGTTGCATTTGTTTCTAGTAAGATATTACAATTCATATGTTGGGTAGAAGGAATTTAATAAAAAACTTTAAGACTAATTTAATGCATCTATACTCGCTTCAGGGTAGTTTACACACAGGGCATTATGATGGTCCCAGATTTGATATTTATGGAAACATTTATTGTTATTGTTTCACATTGTCTGATTATTTTCTTTAAATTATTATGTATATAAACACTGACAAACTTCAAGTTTTGAAAGTTCCAACAACATCTATAATCATTTAATTAAATATTCTTTGAAACCATAAAATTTTTAACTTATGTTTTCTTTTAGGTGCAGACTTATCTAACCTCGATGCATCTCAATATGAACTACTATGCCTTAACAGGGATGCTGGGGGCAGAGGTGATCTTAGTAGCTTTGCTACTTGTAACATTGCAATGGAGCCGTCCAGAACTTGGTTATCTGCTAAAGATTTCCTATCAGATGTTTCTATTGCTCATACACCTTTAAGTCTGGCACAACTGCTTGATAAAAGATCTGATCTGTTTAATATTTATGGGGAATTCTTGAAGAATAATAACATTATTTTCAATGTAAGTAATTTTACACATTTTAAATTCAAAGCAAATTGAAAGATCTAATAAATCCATTTTCTTTTCAGAATGCCGCCAAAGGTCTAGCCACAACTGAAAAGTTGGACTTTGAAAAATTCAAAACAATCCACGATGTTCTAAACAATTGCGGAGTTGCATGAGTTTGCAATTACAAAAAATTCAAAATTAATACAATGTTTAATTGTCCATGATTTATTACACCACAAATAAATAATACTCCAAAATGTCTACTTAATTTACTTACAATGCTGCTAAAAATAAGCTTATTGCTACTGCACCTGCTAACATTGCATATCCAGTCGAGTAAACCTCTTTAATTGTTAAGCCTTTAGCCGTGTCCCAGTACAAATGCCTGATTCCATTAGCAAAGTGGTATCCCAAGGGTGCAGCCAGACAGGCCTTAGCAAGGAAAATTGTTGCTGGTGAGAGATTCAAGCCTTCAATCATTGTCACATAATGAGCAACATCATTGGGCAGAACTAAAGCACCAACACCTAATGCTGTTATGTATCCTGATAGCATTATACCTAAAAAAATGTTTCCAACTATTAAATCCGAATAGAAAGCAATTAATTGAAACACAGTATATACTATACTTTGGAATAAGTCATTTAGATTATCCTCAAATGTATTACTACAAGTACATAACAATATTACTGTTTCTTGCAAAAATCTAACCTGCAGCTCTGTGGGTCACGGAAAGGAGACTCGTAAGTTGGGGCTTGTAAATCGTGAGATGAGGAGACATAGGTCGGTTAAGTCGTTCATTTTTCAGATCGAAATGCTCATCTTTTGGTGGCTCATATGGTTTGAAGGATATTTTCGGTACTGACGCTGATTGAGCATATTGCGCTGTTCTTAGCGCAGGTCGAAGCTTGGCCAAGCTCCCCAAAAGTGATTTATTGCTTAATCTACAACAAATTTCTGCATAAGATCCTCAATGTATTAATAAAAATCTATTACATAATGTTATGATACAAACTTACCTGGAACAGCAATAAAAATTCATTTTACTCAAATAAATATAGATTTCTTCAAATTATAATTATTATATTTTTCGGATAATATTCAGATTTCTTCGTAAGACAAAATCAGAATTATTGTAGATCTTTCTTTTTATTTAATACTTAATAGTCAATTCATTTGACGTTTTACATATCACAGCTGACGATTTGACAATTAACTTAAGAAGAAAACGCTAAGGATGAAATTCAGAAAAGAGTCAGAAAATGTACAGAATTTTGACATAAGTGTTTCATAGGTTAAACATTTCTAATTTGTACTACCATTCATACAGTTTTTATGTATCGACTTCTCACTTCTGAGTTCTGAGTTTCAATAAAATATTGAACAATGTATTGCCATAATGACAATAAAGAACTTACATAAGACGTTGACAGATATTTTGGAAATTGGAAAAGTTTCAGCGAAATAATCGTATTTTGTAATCAAAATACGTAAAATTTTACAGATTATATTTGATACATAGGTGTAAAATATTGAATTAAATGGTTCGGTTATTGCTCCTTACAACTTTAACAAGTTCTGTTATTAAACTTAGTCATTGCACAGTTTCCGCATCTGTCTCGATGGCGCTAAGAAGTGTTGATTTTGAAATATTTGGTAGAGTTCAAGGTGTATTTTTCCGCAAGGTAAATCTAATTTATATCTCAATCTCTATAAATCTGAAGTTAACAGATAAGAGTTAATATAAGTATTTCACATATGACATAGCCCACTGAATAAGCACATTATTAATCCAATATATTTCTCATCAAAAAATCTAGATTTATCAATTTGGATATCAACTCTAGTCATTATTTGAAGTATAGGCAAATATTAGTTATAATACTATATACATATAGTATGGTACACACTCTTATTAGTACTAATTGGGCTTTTAATTACTATATTACACTCATTGTTTTTAATTTTTCTCTACACAGTACACAAAAAATCAAGCAGACAAACTAGGATTAAAAGGATGGTGTATGAACACATCTCGAGGAACTGTGCAAGGACAGATGCAGGGGCCAAATGATAAAGTGGAATCTATGTAAGATTTTTTATTTTGTTGTTTAACAAATGCAAAATAAGTCCTTTGGTTTACGTTCTCACCACTCAAGATGATTTTACTTCTTGAGTTGTAAGTTTCAAAGACGGTTTCAAGACGCTTTCATCTATTATTTTCTGCTCCTGATGTTGTTGTTTAATTTATGTTATATTTGGATAAGGAATTCTAAAGACATAATTATTTAAGTTAAATAACATTAATGTATTCTTAATTGAAAAAAATATAACAGGCAACCTTATGTTGATCCTATTATTACAATAGACAATACAAATCATAATAAATAAGATTAGTTTGGCACTCCTTGGGTGTGTTTCACAACCTTGATAAAATATATTCTGAAGGCACATTTAAACGCTTTTCCTAAATTACACTATATTTCTTCTAGATAAAGTAGTTTAACACTTGATTGCACACATTTGTCACAGAACAAGCTACTTTGGGTGTTTTGTAGTAAATTGGGTGCCTATATCTCGACAAAGCAATGTGTGCAAAGAGCATTCAAAGTGTGAACTCCAATTATGTCAAAATCAAATTTGGTTTTTACATAATTGGAGTTTGTTTTAAAAGCTTTGCTTTATAGTTTATACTAATGCTTAACTTTTTTAGTATAAATATTATTATTGCTTTTCCGAAATTTTATACTTAATTGTGGTAAGCTACAATTTTAACTAAATTGCTTGCCAACTTACTTGGTTCATGATTGTATTTAATATTGACATTGTCAAAATTACATTAGGTTTAACTATTTTCAAAAAATTGTTTTATAGGAGCCATCTGTGTAATGATATTTAACAACTACTTAATAGAAACAGAACTTTCTACTACTGCAATATTCTGTTTATTTCTGAGATAAAATGCAGATAAATCTCCAGAAACGATATTTTAAATTAAGTTTGACAGCGTCTGACGTACTAGCACGTTCCACCGTCTTTGATAGATTATTGGGAAGCTATAGAAAATCGAGGAAAATATCACTGCAGTTAATAACCAGAATTTCTTGTAAACTTTGGATTTAGTTATACTGCTCAAAACAATTAGCGGAACAAGATTTTTCTCCTTTCTATTGCTTAAACTAAAATAAGATTTAAATTAACTTGTACGCTATTTTTTACCTTGTTAATTTGTTAATTACTACAATTAATAAAAAAATTCAGTTTGTATTTTTTTTATTAAAAAAAAATTAAAATGTGCATTGTAGACGAAAAACAAAGTGACGTCTTTGAATTTTCATTACTTTCTAATCACAGAAAACACATTTTAAATAGTTTTTTTCAATCTTTTGAGTATTAATAGAAATTGAAGTGAGCCTTTTGAGTATTGTTATTCATTGAAGCGAGTGAGTTTAGGTCATAATGCCAGATCTGACTGAATTGCATGTCTCCCGAGCTATCGCTTTGCTTGAAGAGGGTCGAACTATGCGTTATGTAGGAAATGATCTAGGAGTAGCCCCTTCTGTTATCTACAGACTTTGGAAGCGTTACCGTGAGACGGGAGAATACTCACGAAGGCGTGGTCAAGGTCGAAAGAGAAAAACTACACGTTTGCAAGATCGCTACATCGTCAACTGTGCTTTACGTAACCGCACCACAACTGCAAGAGATCTACAAAATACACTAAGGACGGCTACTGGTGTAGAAATTTCCGACCAGACGGTAAGAAATAGGTTGTTGGAAGCCAATTTGAGATCACGCCGACCAGTTCGGGCTGTGCGTCTAACAATTCAACATAGACAAGCTCGCCGACAGTTCGCGCAAAATCACGCTAATTGGCAACTTCGACATTGGAGGCCAGTTCTTTTTACTGACGAATCACGATTCCGTCTAACACGTTGCGATGGTCGTCTCCGTGTTTACAGACGCCCAGGCGAGCGATACAGTGCAGCAGCAGTCCAGGAATATGACAAATTTGGATGTGGCTCTGTGATGGTTTGGGGCGGAGTTAGTTTGGACGAGCGCACAGATCTCGTCGTTGTTCCCGGGCGCTTGTGTGCTCAAACTTACATTGAAAATGTGCTCGAAGATCATGTTTGGCCCGCAGCATATGGTATGGGCCCAGATTTTCTTTTAATGCAAGATAATGCCAGGCCGCATACTGCAGCCATCACGTCAGATTACTTACGACAGCAGGAAATCCGTGTAATGGAGTGGCCTTCCATGAGCCCTGACCTAAATCCAATTGAACACATTTGGGACTTGCTTGACAGGCGCATCCGGAAGCGTCCGATTGCACCTCAAACACTGCAGCAGCTCACTGAAGCGTTGATTGAAGAATGGGAGCGAATTCCACAAGAAGATATTCGGAGGATCATATGAAGCATGCCGCGTCGTTGTCAAGCCGTCATTAGGGCTCATGGAGGCCACACACGTTACTGAAAGTCACTAAAGACGAATATTCAAACGATATAAGAATATTTCTTTGATGGACCTTTTTTATCACCAATTAGTTTTTCGTCTACAATGCACATTTTAATTTTTTTTTAATAAAAAAAATACAAATTGAATTTTTTATTAATTGTAGTAATTAACAAATTAACAAGGTAAAAAATAGCGTACAAGTTAATTTAAATCTAATTTTAGTTTAAGCAATAGAAAGGAGAAAAATCTTGTTCCGCTAATTGTTTTGAGCAGTATATTTTGGGAAATTAAAATATATATAATATTTTTCATTTTTAAACCTAAACCGTGACCACTATTGTTATGCGTAACATTTTAAGTGATTTTTAAGCGGACTTGCTTTGACAGCACTTTTATAGAACTGGGCAAACGGGCAGGAGGTTTACCTGATGTTAAGTGATAGTGCCACCCATGGACACCCTCAATGCCAGAGGGCTCGCCAGTGCGTTGCCGGCCTTTTAAGAATTGGTACGCTCTTTTTATTGAAGGACCCTAAGTCGAATTAGTTCCGAAATACTTCAGTGGGCAGTTGGTTCCACATAGTCGTGGTGCGCGGAAAAAACTGCCTTAAAAAACGCTCAGTAGTTCGAACGTCGAGGTGATAGGCGACAAGAACAGACATCCTCCCTGACTACTCCCGACAGACTCCCGCCCGCGGCACAAAGAAGTTCCAATTTTTACCCCGGATAGGAGAGGAAGAAGTATCAGCCGGGGAGGCTATCTGAGTCTCGGAAAGGAAGAATAAGGCCGGTTTCGCAGTTTCTAGATTAAAGTGAACCACGTTAAGGTTAGAATTGAGCCCCCTAACAGTGCTAAAGTCAACTGTGAGCGTGGAAGGGGTTGCTTTCGGTAAATTATTCTGTTTGACTCGAGATCGAAACTCAGCGCAATTTTAATCCGCACCAAGAATATGATGGGCAGCATGTGCGTCCACTAACGGATGTTCCGATGATGGTCGCCCAGAGGGCGATTCTCTACAGCGGAAACGTGTGGTACTTCCCTGGCCTAATCTCTGTTTGAACTGCACTTTCATACTTTTAGGGACAAAGATGGGCTCCGGGAGTCTCACTCACCGCTGAAACGCGAGTACAATAAGATGAACCTATTGCATCAGTTCACGCCGGTTATCTGTGAGACAGTGGTCAGCACCGTCACAGGTCGGCCTGCCGTCTGGCTGAAGCCCGAGAGCAACAACATGGTACTTCCACTAGGAAGGGGGTTGATTGATTGCTAACCTGTGACAGGTTATTTAACCATCCAGTTATATAGTCACAAGACATAGAACATAAAGAAGTACTTAATAAAAATAGATTGTGGTGGGCGGAAGACAAGGGGATCCATTGTCTCCTAAACTTTTTTCAGCAGCTCTCGAAGGGATATTTCGAAGTCTGGATTGGCTCAGCGAGGGAATAAATCCATGGGGAAAAACTGTCACATCTGATTTGGTGACTACTCCCCGAACGGGCCAAAATACCCCCCTCGCGAGGGAGGATGCAGCAAAAGTAATTCAAATTTATGCATGCATCAGAGTAGAAAAATTACCGTCTCCAGTCTTATAAAAAAACAAATACATATTTAGATTACTCAAGAGAATCGATAAGTCGGACAATCTATCGTCGTAATACGAGTGGTCACACCCTTAGCACTTTCATTATGAAAAAGGTCTAATGTGGAACATTACTGACGGTCCAAGGCTTTGGGCCACTCAGGAATTCTCGACAGAATACGTGTCATTTTAGAGTGTTAAGAACCAGTGCTAATGATAATGAGACGCCCTAATGAACTTCTCGGTGTTACCTTGAACTTTAAGCGCGTGTTTGTAAAACTACATTGTTCTAAATTTGAACACATTTAGTTTCAACATTCATACGTAAAAATGTTGTTACTGTTTATTCAGCATGTTAGGTACCTACCTAACCTCCATAGTTACGTATATTTTATTTTTTTACGTACGTACGTACTGTGTAAAGAACGGAACTATTGCATCTTCTATCACATTTACCAAAGAGAGTGTTGAGAGGAGTTGTTCGGATTACTACCTGCAGATGAGTTTCATCATCGGACGTCGAGGCAGAATACGAAATTCCACTCGGGAGCCCTCTGGTATTGAGTGACCATGGACGGCGGTATCACATAAGATAATGAGCCTTCTGCCCGTTTTTCCCCTGTTCTATAAAATAAACCTAAAATTTTGTATTGATTTTTGTTTTGATGTTAACCATTTAGGAATATTTTGTCAGAATTTGACTTATATTACCGGTTAATACGTGAATAACAATTGGGATGTTAGTACCCATACAATATAGTATTTTGATATTGTACCCATTAGAGGTTTTGTTAAAAAAAAACGGAATCAATAAGTTTAAGAGGAAATCTCATTGAAACCTATAAAATCCTTACTGGCCACTATAATGTTCCAGGAATTGAGAAGCTCTTTATTTTAAGTGGGAACACACATTTGACGGGTAGTTCTTTAAAACTCAAGATCACTTATATAATACAAATTTCGTAAACCGGGTAGTGGCTGACTGGAATAGGCTTCCGGAAAGTGTAATTAGTGCACCCTCTTTGATTTCTAAAAATAGGTTGGATAATTTCTCCAATTCCGCAAAGCGCGCGCATCAGCTTACTAAGCTGCTAGTTTATTTATCTACATAATAATAATAATTAGTACAGTTCACAATAATTAATCAACATTAATTTTACGACTCGAACACGACATTTATTCAACCTTAATTGTATCCATTATATGAATATCGACCTTTAAAATCAAAATTAATTGGACATTGTATGAAATGCTTGTTTAAAAAAAGATCCTAGACTGTGTTAGTCCCAACCTGTGCTCCGCCACGCAGGCGTTTTATGGGTAGTAGCGTCATGTTATGCCTTTCTTGATAAATTGTTTATTCACAGGCAATTGTTTTTAATTCTGAGATTAGCTCGGTCAACTAAAGCTCTTCAGATATATATTTTAAAACATATTAGAGCTGAGAAAAAATGACATAAACCATAAACTAAACACTGCATTAAAATATATAACTTGGCTACATGGAATCTCGATTAATATTTTGTGCCGATACGATCATAAACTTATAATCCTTATAAGTGTCAAAGTTTAACATCTTAACTAATTAATCGGGAAGTTTGTCTAACAATAACGTAATAACGAATTAATTTACTCTGCACACCCGTGATTTATTATTAATTATAAAACTAGCTTCTAACTATAACAACTGCTTACCAAAAAGTAACGACCTCACACAAAACTAGTCCCCGCACTAGGGAGGCCCATTGTCAAACATTGTTTCATCATTATAATAATTAAGAATCATTTATTCCTTGAATTTACAAAATATTAGTATACACACACTTAAAATAAATAAATAATATATTTTTTTCAAGGACCTCTTAAAGAGTATAGGCCTCCTCCATCTCTCTCTGGTTTGAGCATTTTTCTCCCAATCTTCTCCACCAACTTCCTGAAGCTCGTCAACCTACCGTGCAAGAGGGCGACCTCTCTTTTTTTTTCCTGGTGGCCCTTTCCACTTTGTTACCCTCTTTGTCCATCTGCCATTGTTCATGCGATAGTGCAACAATAACTTTTGTTTTGTTTCTTATTTCTATACTTCTGATTGTCCTTTAGTTTCGTCATTATCAGACATAATTCATTCATATATCTTAACTGGATATATATTTCTGCATATTTAGTTGTTTTTTGTAAAGTTCTTCCTTCTGTGCTTACCCACCAATGGGAAATAATTATTATTTCGGGAATCAAACACAGCTATGTTCGCTAACCATTCGCAATATAATCTACATAGTTACCTCGGTTGATATGGTTATAATATTTTAGATAAAAATAATCTTTTAGGTTAAAATAAGCAAAGAAAGCAGAAGAACAAAGAAGTGCTTATGACGGCTAAGAAAAGGAAACTTGAGTATTTCGGACACGTTTTACGTAACTCCAAAAATATGAGCTCCTTCAACTAATCATACAAGGCAAAGTGGCAGGTAGAAGGAGACCTGGCCGCAGACGCATGTCCTGTTGAAAAACTTAAGACAATGGTTTGGTCAAAGCACCAAGTCATTGTTTAGAAGCGCAGCATCCAAAATCAAACTAGCCATGATGATCGCCAACCTTCGCAAGGAGATGGCACTATAAGAAGAAGAAAACAAAAGAGCGTACCAATTCTTTCAAAGGCAACGCACTTCGGCGGAATCACTTAACATCAGATGAGCCTCCTGCCCGTTTGCCTCCTATTACATTTAAAAAAACGCACTTGATTTCTGCCTCAATTCATGTAGCGAAGTTCAACAAAATAGCGCCATTTATTAAAATTATGAAAATTGATACTACTTCTCAGTCTGTGGAGAAGGATTTTTTTTAAGAGTAATTTTAACATAATTCCATCTTTTAGGATGCAATGGCTGAAAACAACTGGCAGCCCAAGTAGCAAGATTGATAAAGCCGACTTCAATAATAACAAGGAAATTGACGACTATACATTTAAAAGCTTCGATATTCGTCGGGATGATTAATTTGTATTACTCAATTCCTAGCTTTCCTTCCCGCAAAATCGACCAACCAGTATTGTTTACGTGGAGATAATAATTTTGTCAATAAAATCACCGGCTATATATCATGTATTAGATATACTCATGCCATATATACAAAAGTATTAGTTACGCAAACTTATTCTTAAGTATTCAGAAGTTTTGTTATGATTAGACAATTTTGTAAAGTTTGCTATACAAATCGTAATCCACGCATGTACTGCGAACAATTGTAAATTTTAATATTTATATAATACAATAGTTATAATAAAGCTTTGTTTTGGAAACCTGAGTAGCGCTTTTGGAACTAAACGGACGCACGAATGTTTGAATATTTTTGTGCAGTACAACTGTTCACCGAATGTATGGAAAATCTGTGTTAATCAAATCGAATTAACTTGACAAAACTATCGTAAAGGTTCACGTTGACCAAAATAGACTAATATGACCTAATTGCAGTCCAAAGAATTGTTTTAAAAATAGCTATGTATTTATTTTAAAATCCCATGTGATATTAGTTGTACATCGTAGAATGATCTTTTAAGTATGAATAAAGAATTTTTAAGTTACTAAATTGTTTTTTTTTATATCCTTTTTAGTGCAAAGCGGTATTAGATCATGGATGCATTGATAGAGCCAACTTCGAAATTTGAGAATTCTCAGGAATAAATCCATGTTAGAGGTTCAATACTTCAAAAATATAGAGATAACTTATTAATTTATTTTAAGGAGCACTTTAGAGGCATTCGAAAGAAATAAAAGATTAAAAATATCATTATATTAGATTATTATTAGATTAGATAAAAAATCGCTTGCGCTACAACCTTTCGGTCTGGCCACAGATTTGTATTGTTACGTGATCATTTTTCTTAATAGACAAGTAGGTCTAGGATCAGCCTTCCGTCACCATACGAGCTAATATTCGACCTCAGGGATAAGAGACGCATGTTGAAACCAACAAAACACTGCTCTAAAAGTGTAAATATGTTCTGATAATATTTCACATTTTAAAACTGTTTCCGATGGTGGCAAACGCATCACTGATAACTTTTGTTTTTGGGTTAAGATAGACAGATTTCTGTCATTGCTTACTGAACTATATTGTCTTTAAAAACACTTCAACTGGTTAACGCGGCGCTGACATATCTCTGAAACTAATTAAAATTAGAAACATTAATTTTAAATAAATAAAAAACGAGTTTCAATAAGGTGTATTTGTATTATCCTTTAAATTTAATCAGGCTCCGGAAGCTGTGATAAGACTTTTTGCGTGGCATTTCATTAAATTGTCATCAAACAAAATTTTTTCACTGAATTTATAAAACCGTATATATAACTTTTATCAACGAAAGCTATTTCTTTGGGCCTAAATCCAATTTCAGATATCCTGCGGCTTTGAAAATGATGTCAATAACTCATTTCGCAAATATTACGTCCCTTATTAGGCTATTTGACAGTTTGAAAAATAAAATGTTACTGAAAATCATCCGTATACCAGCTTTATAAAGCAAATTTGTACAAATTTGTAATAAAATCCTTAGTTAAAAATATATTGAATTTTATACGTCAATTACATAACACAAAACGGTAACAGATTAGTCGAATCATCGACGACGTCAATTATGTATTCGCCTGTCTAATCCTAATACTGTCCTGGAATTTAATTTCGTTGGAGAGTAATTTCTATCGGAATATATATGTGTATTTGTGTAATTTATTTAAAAAAGTCCTGACACACGTCCTGATTCACGTGTTTACAGACAAGGAAGGTACCTTATACTTAAGAAGGTAGGACGCCATCTTGTCAAGAGAAGCGTTTTGGCGTGTTCTAAAAATTATTTCTTCTTTTTTTTCTTATAAGACAATTCACACCAATTGACCTAGTCCCATGCTAAGCTGGTGAAGCTTGTGTTATGGGTACTAGGCAACGGATATACATACATATTATAGATAGATAGACATATAAATACATATTTAAACACCCAAGACAAACACCAAATGCTCATCACATCGATGTTCGTCTCAGCCGGGGATCGAACCCGGGACCCATGGATTCGCAGTCAGGGGTACTAACCACTAGACCAATGAGCCGTCAAATGTTAATGGAAAACAAATTATGAATGTTTAATTTGCATCGATAAAGCAAACACTTAACAACAATAAAAATAAGAATATATAATATGTATAGATATGACTATAGACACTAATTTATCGTCTAAATTTTGTCTTGTCCATTACGCTAAATATGTTGTTCTGTTTGATTCCATGTCCAGCGATACATGTTTTGGGTTGGTACAGAAGGCTGACAAGAAACACAAGAATAGAATGCTAAATTAGTAGGTATTTTATTTTAGGGAAACCGCAACACACACAGGAAAACAAATATTTATCTCATCATAATAGTACCTTATGGGAAGTTCTATCTTGTTATAAATCACAACCCATTTTTATCTTTGTTAATTGGTTTATTTTTCACAAACAAGAGTAATTAATTTATATTCTTATAGAAACGCTCAAGGAAAATAACATATATATTCACTCGTCTTAAAAGTCTGTTTTCTTCTTTTCTTAGTGTCCTATCTTTATGTTGCCACATACCTACATCAAAATCTTATAGAAAATACTACACAATATATGTAGTATGTACATTTTAGTGCGTATCTACGATTCGCTACAACCTTTTGCCACCTCTATAATTTCGTTTTTTTTTTTAAACAATAGTAAGTAACGAAGTATTAGCTTTCTCTAGATAAATAACTATAAAATCTTCTATCTTTATTTATTTTAGTTAAATAAACAAACACATAACAGATAAATATCACATACACAGAAAATATATTCACTTCTCGATGTAACAGAACTGTATGCCATTAAAATAATATGTTAGTATAATAATAGCGCTAAGTGTAAAAAAACCGATTGAAGAAAAACGCTTTTTACCGGATTAAAGTTATGTTTATTATTATAAATTTACAACTATTTGACATAATTTTAAATTTATCCGACGTTTCGCGTGCTTTACAGCGTGCGTGGTCACCGTGACCGTGGTTTGAATAGTGTGACAATGACAGGTGTAATAAAACTTTAAAATAGTTACAATGATTATTCTTTTAATGCGCCGCGCATAATACATATACTTATTAACATATTTTAATGGCATACGTAAAACACGAAATAATTTTGGAATGACAGTCAAAATGCGATGCATAATTTAATGAGCGAAGTAAAAGACCCGTGAACAGTTTCGTCGTAGTTCTTTTAATGCTTTCCACAGATGAAATAATTCATTTACGACCGTATTTTTAAATAAAAGTTTTTCGGGAAACTCATAAGCGGTCAGCTTTTCATTCTGAATCGGAGCGCAGTCTTATTAAAATTCCCCGGCGTTTTTTCAATTATTTAGTAAATGAGTGCTCCTCATTATTTGATTTGGCACTAAACTATTTCTCGTGCCGCACATTTTTTTCGTTTTCTCATAATCAAAATATATATTCCAAAACCTTTAAAACTATACCTACCTTTATTTCAATTATAAATTTATTTGTTTAATAATAATGCCCAAGAACGATTATTCAGTACACCATTCATAATTCTCGTCTTACATTTTCCAAGAATAAATTCATCGTAAAGCTCGGGCTAGTAGCAATAAAACTCATTAAACTTTGGGACTGTTTTACTTGAAATAATTCCACGGGCTTATGTGAACTTACCCAGAAGCTATGTCATGTTCAAAATCATTTGTTGATTCTCGAACTCAATATAAATTACAGAAACGAACTGCAAATTTGCCAAATTCATTAATATTGAGAATATCAGACCATCTGTTAACTAACAATTGACATCGACCTTGAAGGTTTTCAGGAGTTTCGAACGAAGGGGTAGGAAATAATTACGTCCAAGTCAGTAACCCGGGCGTGCGTTATTGATGGGCGGGCGGCGGACGGTAAGTGGGTCAGGAGGGGCGCGCAGCCGCGGCATTGCGTTGACAGGCTCCAGCCATGGCGGACGTGCCGCCTGAGGTCCTCGAGCTGAACGTAGGCGGCGTGCACTACGCGACTACACGTGATACGCTGTTGCGCGAACCAGACTCGCTGCCCGCCGCCGCGCTTGAAGATTCCGAACATCCACGCGATGCTCGCGGTCGCATCTTTTTCGACCGCGACGGTGTTCTCTTCCGATACGTGCTAGATTATCTACGTGATGGCGGGCTGGTGCTTCCTGAATGCTTTCGCGAGCATAAACGTCTCGCGCGGGAAGCCAGACATTACAGACTTCCCGGACTCGAGAATGCGGTGAGGGAAGCGGATCCCCGTCCTCCTAATCGTGAGCGTGGCTGCATTACGGTGGGATATCGAGGCAGTTTTGCTTTCGGGAGAGACGGTCTCGCTGATGTGAAATTCCGTAAGTTATCACGCATATTGGTGTGCGGAAAGGTGACGCTATGTCGAGATGTGTTTGGAGAAACGTTGAATGAATCACGAGATCCTGACCATGGCTTGGCTGACAGGTATACTTCGAGGTTCTTTTTAAAGCATTCCTTTATAGAGCAAGCCTTTGACATGCTCCAAGAACAAGGGTTTAAGTTGACGGCGAGCTGTGGTAGCGGAACGGCTGGAGGAGCAGCTGAATTGAAACCTGGAGTTGATTCAGAAGAAAATCGCTGGAATCACTACAACGAATTTGTTTTCGTACGCGAATAATATTAACCTGTTCGCTATCAGCTGATGATGTTATCATAACAATCTCAGGTAACGTGGGAGGCGTCGGTGAATAATAGGAGTAACCTGATGTTTTAGTATCTGTTCGATTTGTAGTATGTTAAACTCGAAAATACATTAGGTGATAGATAATGTACTTACTGTATTTCTCATTTAGATTTTAATGAGACATTAAAGAAACCTATTTAATTCAGCAATTGATAAAGATTTAGATGCATTGTAGATAAAATACATTCATAATTATTATAATCAAATTAGATGTGTAATATAGATAATAGAGTTAAATGTAAAAATATAAATCGTTTTGTAGACTATATTATATATTATAAATTGTAGATTTAACTTTTGAACTTTTGAATTGTGTACCAAGTACTTGAAATTGTCAAATTCTATACATACATTAATTTATAAATATATAAAAATCTATTTGCCAAAAATTTCATATAATTTGTTTATAGGAATTGTTATGGATTATAATTTAATAATTATTCTATGTACATTAAAAATTCTCTTACCTAAAATTTTATTTAATAACGTGTATCCGCTGTGTTGTGATTAATTGTTATATTTTATAACTATCTGTAGTTAATATATGAAAACATTATTTTCTCTATCAATTTTAAGGTTTATTCATATAAAAGAGCGCAACAAATGTACCTTACTAAAATAGTTGAACAATATAAGAATTTTTAATAGAAAACTATTGGAATAGAATATACGTTAGACTTTCTCTTTGAAGTGTAATAAAAATTAAGTACTATATAACTTGATATCTACATAAAATTATGATTTTATTATACAACATTAAAGAATTATTAAAAGAAGCTTGTATTCCAGAGGTTTTTATATTTTGTCGCTGTATTTTCAGTTATCCTACTACTTCATTAGCAAAAATATTGGACTCGAACATAATCTCATACGAATATTCAAACGTAACAATTGTAGTTTTAAATTTCATTGAAATAAAAATAATCGTTGTTAATTATAATTATATGTATCAATTATTTTTTATAAATAACCCTTTATATTACTAACCAAGGTTTACAATAATAAATAATTAATATCATTGTGTAATATTGTCATATAAAATAATAAGTTAGTAATCAATGTATATTTTATGAAAAAAATATAATTTGATGTTTCCAGACCTTGTTTTATTTATGTCGTAGATGTATTCCGTGGTCATATAAACGTGATTTAATTCGCCAGAAATTAAATCACTTATTTTTAAAAAATATAAAAATAAATATATATTTAGCAAAAAAGTTATAATCGAGAAATACTAACATTAATATGTTATTTTTTAAATTGAGATAGAAATAACAGTGAAATTGTGAGGAATAGCTATTTTCAATTAAGATATTTAAATTTTATATGTTGAATTGTTTTTTTTTCAACATTTCATTTACATAAATAGTTTTTCTACGGTGTACCGAACTATAAGTCTCGTTTCTGAATGTTTCCATAAAATTCGTAGGGTAAGTCGACACTTCGTAGGTTAAATATGTAATAGACTCGACATATGGAAGTTATACTTACTTGGTTCTATTTGGATATAAGACAAGAAAAAAGCTTGTGAGAAACCACAAATACTCGTGTTAATACCATTATAAATATTACTTGATATTATCCAGTCGATATTACCAAAGACAATTAAATTAAGTCACCTTTGTTCTTGCATTTAGTTAATATTACTGAACTCTATATGTCAATTGATCGCTCCAGCTTCGCATAAAAAAATACGAATTAATATCAATATTTATATTAGAATACAGCCCACTAGTAAATTTTTTAACCATATGGCGCCATCTAGTATCGAATAGTAAACCAAACTAGCTTGAGAATGCTTGTTAAAATTTACTCTTTTCGCCACTCGCTCACAGATGGCACGCATCTCATAAATTAGTAATTTGTCAATGTCAATAGATATTAAAATCGTTGTTGAAATAAATACATTGTTCGAATCGAAAACTCATGTACGAAGAAAAAATATGTAATATACAAATCTTAAAAAGAGACTGTCTTGAGATACGAATATTAATGAGTCTAAGTATATTGGGAACTGATCTTCAATCAAAATCATATATCACTAGGTATATAATATTTAAAAAAACACATTTTTTTGTCTTGCTGCAATAACTTTATTTATGCAGCAATGTCCATGTCACTAGGAATTTGTCTCCATAACCAAAACTTTAAGGAGAGAATTACTGAGTTTACTTCACCACTTTTTTCCACCTTGATATGAAATCTCTCCTTTTTATTATAATTTCAAATATTTTCTTTTAATGCAGTCTTATTCAGGTACAAGTTGTTTGTAAAGAGTTAGTAGAAAAGGAAAATAAGAAGATATAAGAAATAAGATTGTATATTTGATTTATTATTACAACAGAAATGCATTTATATCATAATTATCTTATTGTTATCTAGAAACACTCAAGTCTATGGAATGTTACTATGCTACTGCTTAAATACATTACTCTTATAATACTTAAGTTCTTCTAAACTTTCCAATATATCATTCATACCACGGTGAGCAAATTTCTTTTGTGGTATATTTGAATACTCTTTGGGATACCAACGTTTCACTATTTCCTTTATGGAGCTAACATCAACTATTCTGTAATGTAGGTAGTCATTTAGTATGGGCATATATTTCCTTAGGAAAATTCTATCCATATAAACACTATTGCCTCCTAAAGGACATGTTTTTTCAGGTACATGTGATTTTAAAAAATTTAATACCTTTTCTTCAGCATCCTTTACACTTACTTGTGATTCTTGGCTTGATTTAGTAAGCCCACTCTAAAATAATATACAAAAGTTTAATCAATGAAGATATTAAAAACTTATATAATAATCAGACACAGAAACTTGCATGGTAAGAATACTACCGTTCACTTTTTTAGTTACACAACTCATAATTGGTCTGTTGTGTCTATGGTTAGTTACACCCCATATAAATACAAAAATTCCAGCAAATAAATAACCCAACATTCTTTTTATATTAGATCTACCAATACTTACAATTTGAAAAGTTACTTAATTATCTGTAACTTTAATAAGTAATTAAATTACAATAATTCATTAGTAAAGCAGTTATCAAATTAAATTATTTAATAAAGCAATTACTATAAAAACCATAGACATTTCATTTCAGTCTTTACTACAGTCATTGAATGATGTTCTCTGATACTGACTAAAAATGAAAAAAATATAGACAATGTGGCATACCTCACCATGTGTTGATATGCACCAGTCATTCATTGAATTCAGTATCTCATCAGGCTGATGAATAACTATGTTAGGGCCAGTAGCAACAACATTAAGTTTTTCATCACTTACTAAACATGCTATCTCCAGGATATGGTCTTTTTCTATGTCAAGGCCAGTCATTTCTAAATCTACCCATACTATTCTTTTAGATACATTATCTAAATTAGGGCTAACTAATCGATGTTCCGACATAATTTGATGCGCTGAAAGTAAGTTTTATTAAGATATCATTATCAACAATATTGACGCTTGCAGTTTAACGTAAGTAACTAAGTAGCTCTTAAATTAATATGCACGAGTCACGACACCACTCGAAGTACTAAAAAATACAATTAACAATACATTAGAATTCAGATATCAATTGTCAGATGCGTAAGAAATCATTTAACAAGTTGAAAAAGTTTCAAGTATCGGTTTTTGACTTACCATTACGTTTAATTATAGTACGTACCAAGTTTTTATAAATGGGATAAACATTTTTTAATAGTAGATCCATTAGGAAACTAAAATTTTGGTTTAAAATAAATGTTTTTACTTTTGATATATAAAATTTTAAATATCAAAATAGACTACAGAGAATAGCAAATCTTGAGAGAGAAAAGCACGATGTGAACTGTCTTTGTCCACAGGGCACACCGCAGTACCGCACCAGGGTTCACGACCGTACGATAATTATCGTACATTTGCGATAATTTCATAACTATAGGTCTACCAGGATCTGATGGCAAAAAAGGAAAAAAATAAATTGACGCTAGCAATACTGGGAAGTGGGTAAAACGTTTTGATCCTTTTTTTTTCCTTATAGCGGCTGATTCTGTGTGATATATGTAAAATATATAAAAATTCTATCCAATGATAATTTTGAAAATGTGGAACGAATGTGGGGTTTTGAAATTTAGATGAAAACTCCAATTACTCTATTCATGAGTTTATTAATTAATTAAGAACTTTAAAATGGTTCCAAATACTGCACATCCATAAAAAGTCTTCAATGCAGTATTTATAATAAACCTTTCCTCCTGCATCTCAATTAACCGATCTTGTTCTATGAACTTATTTTAAATTTTATTCATGTTCACAAGATTTTCGCTATTCATCGATCCCTATTTGAGAGAAAGAAAACAATGTAAAACTCATTTATCTTGTTCTGACCAATTCTAAATCAAAAAACTATCCAAGTTTATTTTAAGTATAAAAAACCTGAAATAAACCAAAATCAGTATAAGTACATAATATAGTACATAAAAGAAGAATCCTATAAACCCAAAGTATCAAGACGTGTCATTCCTACCATCCAGTCAATGCTTGCATACGGGTCTAATATCGATGATTGTGTAGGTTCTGCATCTTGTTGATCAAGTATTCTTTGATAAACATTGAAAACAATATGTCTTCTTGCGATCGAAGAGGTTTCTTCGATATTTTCATCACTTTTTAAAGGAAATTTGAAGTAGACCAAAAATAATTCCTCGAAATTTCAGTTTGACGATGAAATTTTTCTTTTAATGCCATATGAAATCGCTAATTTTAAAAAAAAATTTGCCATCAGATTCTGGTAGACTATACGTACGATGTACGATGGTATAGTCCCTTTTCACGAAAATTTTAGACGCGGCGCTGCAATCGCATGTCGTAATGTTGCCATTTATGAGTAAAAATTTACCTATTTTATTTATTTAGTAGATGTAATTTATCAAATAATACGACTTTCTGCGTACTTGGATGAAATAATATATCTGTTTGTAAAAGTATATTTTTATTTACTTATATTGCGGTGTTCTACCTACTTACAGGAAAAGATGAAGAAGATAGGGTGAAAAGAAAACACAATTGTTTATTCAGAGTTTTATTGTATAATTGTGATCAACAGCCATAGGGACATCACTGTCCAAGAGTGTATTGAAACAGAATCAGATTCTGTTTCAGTAACACTAGCAGTTGATATAATTATTCGGTCCATCATTTCATCCATAAGGCCGTCATTTTTTAAATATTCCTCCTCTAAAATGTTCGACATGCGAGCACTGAGCTATCAATCTTCAGCCGTAATAATAGACTCCAAAGGGCCTCTTTAGTTAATTTTAATATTTCTTTGGATCTTGTGCCACGTTCTTATCCGCCACCTTTCTTTTTACAAGGCTCCAGATATTCTCAATCGGGTTGAGGTCACAATGGTAAGGCGGCAACCTTACACTTCGTGTCAGTGAGCTGTTAATAATTCATCCACTGCAAATATCATGGACCTTTATTCTGTTTGATTAGCTCTTACAGCACAACTTTTGTCCAGGTGTCTTCAAAATATATACCCTTTTGCCGGAGCCACTCTTGCATACTACTTTTTATATTTGACATAGAAGGGGCTTTGTTTAATTGAGTGCAATGGTAGGAGCGTTATCCATTACCACAAGCGACCCAACTTACACACACTACCACACCACACACTCCTACTCGGTGGACAGGTATTAGTTTTCCGTCCATGACAGAAATTTGCTGAGTTCATGTCATCGTGGTAATCCTGAGGACTTTGATTGGGTTGAACATTAATAATGCACCATTTATCAGATCCATCTTTTGTTCCCGCATGAGCGATTATCCAGCGACTCCCCTGAATGATTCTGAGA